AAAGGTATAAAGAAATTACTGGGACCACCTATTACAGATAAGTAACATGTAAACATCATTATATAAAAGAATATGAACAAAATATTTTCTAAATACTCTAAGGTTCTATTTTTTAAATAAATGAAAAAACTGAAAATTTCAGCTTAATTAAATTGAATAAGTCATAACATTTTACTACTATTAAAGCTGACTATTAGATCAATACGAGTAATGTGACTACAGCATGTCTGATGTGCCTGTTTGCAGGGGTACAGGTTTTCATGTCCCCCATGTTTAGAGATAATTTGGGTTTGCTAGTTCAGTTTAGTTTACAAACAATGCATCCAGTGGAACACAATATTATGTCCAGCGTGGTGTCATGTGGAGAGTTTATTTTTATTTAAATTAACTTTTTATCTTCTAGGTACTCAGGTTGATTTTTATACATTCAATATTTTCTCATATTCCTGAGTATATTAATTATATTTATTTAAATTTTTTATTCTAATTACTCTCTTAACACCATTTCCTTGGGAGTTTAGGTCTTCTGATGATTGCATTTGGTGCCTCTCACTGTTTTGTTTCTTCTTCTCAATCATTACTTATTATTGTTCACTCAACTTTGTACGTCTGATTATCTATTAGCCTTGTGTGAATGTCATAAACATTTTACCGCAGCCACCTCAGTGCCCCTAAGATAGGGACAGGATGTGCTGTTTGGTAGAGTCCCATGGGAATAGCAAGGGGTCTGGATTTCTGGATCTAGCTACATCCATCCTTCCCTGCATGTTACCAGTTGCCTGGAATTCTGCCTTACCCCTAGGACCCAAACATTCCCTCACATGTACCTCCCAGGCAGCAGTGAAACCAGTTCTTGTTTGGAAAAAATTAGATTGGGATTGATTAAAATACCAACTTTTTCCTACTGGGACATCCCAAACAATGACCCTGCTCATTGCCCAAGAGGTTTTTCTTTCTTGACTTTGCTTCGCCTTCAAATTCCTATCATTCCAGAATGTCTTCAGCACCACTCTCCTAACAGGTATTTTTTTTTAAATTGGAATCATCTGTTTTTTATTTTCCTAAGAGTTTTAATAATTTAGAGGTATTAAAAATACCCTTCATCTTTCTGATTTTCCAGCACAGCTATGATTTCATTGACATAATATGCTTTTCCTATCATGATCTTGGAGCAGGAGATTACAGTATGTTCACAGGCTAACAATTTAATCCAACTCTTAGGTGAGAGTGATTGACTTTGCCTTAACACATGTCTTGTTTATTCCCAGTTGTGATAGGAGATGACGTGGAAATGAAAGCAAGTGAACAATGGAATTTATGAAGTGAAAAGTAAAATAATTAATCAGAAAATACTTCCAAGGTGATCAAAAGCAATGTGGCTATTCATTTTTAAAAACTCATCCTAAAAAGGAAGAGCTGATGTGGAAATGAGAGGTGTAACAGAGGGGAAGTGTGAAAAGGAAGTACCACCCTTAACTTCTGAGTCTTTAGAAAAGGAAAAGGATTCCAGGGGAGAAAAGAGGTTTAGTTAGGCCTAGAACCCTCAGGATTATTAGGGAAAGGAAGAATGGGAAGTGCTTCCCAATACAGCAGGCACAGGGGATGGAGAGCAGAGAAGCAAACATTGGCCAAAAAAAAAAAAAAAAAAAAAAGGAGCAGGGCATCCCCTGGTGGCGCAGCAGTTGAGTAGCAAGGCTGCACAGTTCGATCCCCGGCCACCAGCGAGGGTCCCATATGGCGTGCAGACCTCTCCTGCTGCGCCCACTGCTCCCCTCAGCAGTGTACTTCGGTCCTTCTGCCTGCTCTGCTCCCCGCTCTGGCTCTGGTAAATCCTCTCACCCTCCCGCACTTCTGACTGTACCCAGTGCTTGTATAAATAAATAAAAAAAATCTTTAAAAAAGAAAAAAAAAAGGAGCAAATTTTGATTTTTACTTTATTATAATTAGTCTTTTTCCTGGTCCCTTATTTAGGTTTTCTGAATTCCTGCTATGAGTGAGACCATCGGGTATTTTTCACACTACAGGGTGGGGGGTGGGGTGGGAAGGAGGGAGTAGGATCAAAACAAGGGGGTGGGAATTGTATGGGGACTATAACCAACATGAAAATGCATACATTGTACAAAAATGAAAAATGATGTAAAAAAATATACAAAATTTTTAAAAATGAGCAGAAAAGAAATGAGAGAAGGAAAGGTGAAGTGGGATATGGATTTGCCTGAGGCAGGACTCTGCAAAAGCAAAAACATTCACACGCAGGAATGAAGAAGGTGGAGCAATGTAACGGAACAGGCTTGTGTTTGCAAATGGAAGCAACAGCTTGCCCAAAGAATCTAGGTGAGAACTACTTGTGGTGCTTCAACCTCTGTAGCCTTTCTCCTGACCACCAGTTTTTATGAAGATCTTACTTTGTGGCATATGGGAACAGAGGGTCAGAGGAGATGTAGGTTATTGAGAAAGCCAAAAGAAAAAAAATAGTAATTTAGAACAAAAAATAATCTTACAAGCATGGAATGAGAAAGAAGATTGTGTTATTTCTATAGGCATCTGGTTGAGCAGAGAAACTGCAAATGCATCTTTTGTGCAGAATTGGAGACTATGGATTAGTTAAAATCCAGACGGGGGAAGAAAGAAGGGCAGGAAGGGGAGAGAGAGAGAGAGAGAGAGAGAGAGAGAGAGAGAGAGAGAGAGAGAGAGAGAGAGAGAGAGAGATTGATTAACATCTTATCATCACCTGATTCTGTCAGGACTTGCAAGTCACTACCATGAACACCTCCTATATCTGCCTCCCTTGAGAGGAAAGATGGAGTTTCAGCAGCTATCACTGATGTAAAATGTTTGAAATGGGACAGTATGCTTGACAGCTTGTCCTTAGATATTTTTCTATTATATAATTTTTGCAGGCACTCAAAACATCCTACAAACCTGTGCTAACCCTACATGCCCTCTCAAAATAAAAATCATACCTTTCTGCAATCTTTACAACACTGTTAACTGTAGCAAGAATCTCACACACATGCTTACATTTGGTTTCTAGACGGCTTCACTTTCTGGACTTTCCCTATCACATGGGGTTTCTAATATGCCATTCTATGAAAAGTGCAACACCCTTACAAGCTCTCTGAGGCTTATTTCATGTTTTAGGACATACCTTGCTGATGGAGGCATGAAATAAATCAAGATAAAGATAATGTACAAGGCTCACATGCATGGCTCTGAAAAATGGTGGGTTGACAGGGAAGGAGCCTGGTGGTGCCGCACCCCCTGCGCCCCAAGTGGAGCATGCACTGCCTATGAAAGGCTGCTACAAAACAAATATGAAAATAAAAATTCTTGTCAGGTTCCTTTAATTTTCTTCCATTGAAAGGAATTTTTTCCAGATTTCCAGATTTTATTTTTTTATTCTTTATTTTCTTAAACTGTATTCTTTTGCATTGAGATAATGTTGGTTTATAACACTATATGTGATTTGGGGATATAGTTTCACATGTCTGCAGATATATGTCACCACGCCACGCCCACCAGCAATACAGTCATAACCCTCCACCAGAGTCCATTGGGCCCCCTCCCCACTTTGCTCTCTACCCTCCCCCTCCCCCTCTGGTAGCCTCAACTCCGCAGTCATATTTCTAGGATTTGTTTTGATTTAGTTTTGTATGTTCCTATAGTTTGCTTCTTTATATTCAACATACGAGTAAAATCATGCAGTATTTGACTTTCTCTTTTTGACTTACTTCACTTAGTATAATCCCCTTCAGTTCCATCCATGTTGCAAATGGCAAGTTTTCATTTTTTTGTTTATATAGCCGAGTAATATTTCATTGTGTATCTATTCCACTTCTCCTTTGGGTTACAAAAAAAAAGGTTTTAGGGGGCCTCTCCTGGTGGTGCAGGTGGTTGAGGGCAGCGCCAGCAGTTAGATACATGCTGGCCAATGAGGGTCCCACATGGCGCGGCAGATCCCTCCTGTCTCGGCTGCTGCTCCCCTCAGCAGTGTATTTCATCAGTCTGCCTGCTCTGTTCCCCGCTCTTTCTCTGGTGAATCCTCTCACCCTCCCACGGATCTAGCCTGTACCCCGGTTCTTGTATAAATAAATAAATAAATCTTTAAAAAAAAGAAAAAAAGGTTTTAGGGCCTTTTTTGAGAGGGAGTTGAGCATAGTGCTGTGAAGCTGTCCACAACTTCTGCAGAGCGATTTGATTCCCAGCCAGCCAGGGAGCTACCCACGTGGTGCGGCAGACCTCTCCTCTCTCACCCGCTGTTACCTCAGCAGTGTCTTCAGTCCACCTGCCTGTCCTGCTCCCCACTCTGCCTCTGGTGAATCCTCTCACCCTCCCACACCTCTGGCCTGCAACCCCAGTTCTTTTATAAATAAAAATAAATCTTAAAAAAAAAGGTTTTAATGAGTCTTTGGTAAAAGCTAAAGGGCTTACCATAGCCTTTGAAAAGTAGGGATACAAGTATTTGCATTTAGAAATAAGAGAAAGAAAAATGTTTAGCATATTTTTTAGGATGCATGTAGGAAAGTTCTACCTTTGCAAGCAAAGTCTGCTGTGATTCAATCCTCCTATAGAAAATTCTAACTGTACTAAGAAGCAAGTAATGTTTGCACATGAAAACATTATCTACCAACCACTTGGCTAACCAAATAAATTCTGCAAGAGGCAACATATTGATGTGGGCATAATGGGACATGATATTGCTCTATCAAGACTATGCTTCTTTTTAAAAATTAACTATTTTTTTAAACATCCTTGTTTATTTTTTCCACAATATAGGAAAAAGTTTATGCTTCTGTGGTTGACTCCTCGCACCTTGCAAGGATCTTTCAGAAACCACATTCTGAAACATCTTGTGGATATGGTTGAATTTCTGAACTCTTGGTTAATGAATAAGCCTTTGATTGGGTTTTTTTTTTTTTTTTTGCTGGTCTCACAAGGCATTCTATTTTAATTCTTTTTAGTTTCTCTAAAGTCTCAGGAGGAAAACTCTTAGATTCAAAATGCCTATGAGCAAAAATACGCTAATTTTATTACTTGGAATGATATGTTTGGAACAAGGTAAATCTGCAACTCTCTCTCTCTCCCAAGGTAAGTTCTAAAAGAAATTCATAACTAACTGAACTGTGTCTAAAGGAATATCCTTTGCTAATAATGGGCATCACAAACCCACTCCATGCTCCTAGGGGAATATAGGAAAAGCAAATATATGTTGGAGATCTAATTATTTCCTCATGTAATTATTTTGGACTTCTGTAATTCACATTGAAACTGAGAAAAAACATTTATGGGTAGAAGTTTGACAAGCTGCATTGATCTGGAGAAAACTGAAATTGTTCACTTATTTGGACATATTACAGAATTCCATCCTCTTTCATAGAACAAATTCTGGAAATCAGCTGAAATTTGGAAGCATTTGTAGTCCTTTGGAAAACTTATCTTGCTGGGAAATATGAAGCATATTCATGGTAGTAATTTATAAATGGTCCTTTTTTCCTCAAGTAACACAAGCTGAGAACAGTTGTTGGCAGGCATCTCCTTTGTCAGATTTGTGCCAGTCCCATGAATTATCATATTTTCTGGTTTTGCTTCAATTATTTCAGGAAATAGTAAATTTGGTTTCTAAGGTGCTTGTGATCCATTCAACTCAAACAGAAAATAAACTTCTGATCAAATGTCATACTTGCAATAGGTCCAAAATCAAAGTCTTAGTGTTCCACCGAGGTTTTGTCACTAAAATTATGTCCACGCATCTTTGCTTCTTAATTTTCTCCTCTGTAATGTGAGGGTAATAGTGCTTAATTCACAACCATATGGGGATTAAGTGAGAAGGGGATTAAGTGAGAAGAGAATATGTTCTCAAGATAAGTGAGAAGAGAATATGTTCTCAAGATAATAAAATATTAGTTCATTCACCCAACTTTTCTAAGTGTCTACTGTATGTTAAGAATTGTGTAAACCTTGGAAATACGGAGATGAATAAGTCTTCAGTAAGGGAAACAGACTGTCATGTCACTTTGACTTATGATGGGACCATGTCCTGATAAACCATCATAAATTGAACATATTTTAAGTTGAGATATTTAATACAGTAGCCTAAAAAAAATGCTAGCAGCACAGTACACTGCATAGTATCAGCTGTCTACCCTCATGATCAAGCGGCTGACCAGGAACTTTGGCTCTCTGCTGCTACCAGCATCACGAGAGAGAGCCTCACCACATATCTTTAGCTCAGGAAAAGATCAAAATTCAAAATTCAAAGTAAGGTCAACGGGTTGTATGAATGATCATTACTTCGTTGTGAAACATAATGAAAGTTTTACAAAATAGTCAAGGAAATTGAGTGAAGCATACACAGGATCTCTCTATTATTTCTCCCAACTGCATGTGAATCTCTAACTAGCTCAAAATAAAACTTTCATTTAAAATAAAAGTAGGGCCTCCCCGGTGGCGCAGCGGTTGAGCGCTGGGTTGCGAAGCTGCCCGCGGCCTCTGCGGTGCAGGTTCGAACCCCGGCTGCTCCCCGGTCCCGGAGGAGGGTCCCACATGGCGCGCAGACCTCTCCTGCCGCCCGCTGCTCCCCTCAGCAGTGTGCTTCAGTCTTTCTGCCTGCTCTGCTCCCCGCTCTGGCTCTGGTGAATTCTCTCACCCTCCTGCACTTCTGACTGTACCCAGTGCATGTATAAACAAAACAAACAAACAAACAAATAAATAAAACATGCCTCTATTAAAAAAATTAAAAAAATAAAATAAAAGTAAATAAATACTAAAACTAAGTATTCTACTGATTGTGTATTGCTTTTACATCATTGCAAAGTCAGAAATCATGAAGTTTTAATGATTAAGTTTTAAAACCATTAAGAATCGTCATAATCCAAGGATCATTACCTCATGGCAAATACTATAAAAGGGAGAGGAAGGAATGCTCCCTTGTACATAGAAGAGACAACATAATTTGAGGAAATCAATTCTTAACATACATTATTCTCAGTTGAGGTGGTAACCAAGCTAAAGAATAAAGATTAGAAGATTCAGCTATATAAAGAAATGGGATGATGATGAAGGAGGGTTTTCTGGGTCCTCTTAGAAAACATGTAGTCAAGAATAATCTGCAGAAGGGCTAGAAGATGTGTCATCTTTGAATTACCAGTCAGTTGTAAACATCTTCAATCTAGTCCATCTGTTAGTGGTGGAGTCAAAAAAAACTGAGGACAAATAAGTAAAGGCACCCCCCTCAAGGATAAAATCTTTTCCATGCAGAGGAAGGGCTCTTTTCTTCTTTACCTGGGAAATCTTCTATACTAACACCACTTTGGTATGTAGATAGGGAAACTGTCTTCTCTCTATTCCATTCTCCTTGAACAACCTGCAGTGGCGATATACTTCTGAGGCCCTTAATTTTTATATCAGAAAAGTAGGTCTTTTCATGATTTGCCTCTTCTATGTAACAAAAGATGAACAATCCCTACTATGACAATTCTCACAATTAACTTAGAGTCATTTTGTAATCTTTCCACATATTCTGTGACCTACAGTTTTTTTCTTGCTCAGAAGAGTTTCCTCATTCCAGGATCTATCTAATGACTACACATTTGTCTTTTCTTTTCTCCAGCTCCCACTTGTGGGCGAAGTGTGGCAAAGGTAAGGCCTTGGAATTACTTTAACCTTTTCAGTCGCATTGTTGGGGGAAGCCAAGTGGAAAAGGGTTCCTACCCCTGGCAGGTGAGTCTCTGATGAGTAGACTAAGAGTTATCTCAGAATCCTGTCTCCCAGAATCACATGCTACTCAGCAGTGGGCTCCATTCTGCCTACTTATCACCAGAGATCTTGTGAGAGTGTGTAAGGATTCCAGTCCTTCATGATATGCATCAGTTAAGTTCAGAATAATTACATGCACTGTTAGCTTGCCTTCAAAGTTGGAAATTGTATCCCAAAATTTTAGCTGCTAAAACAAAAATCCCACTTAAGAAATTGAAAATCTTTTGAATATACAATTTAAAAAATAATTTTCAGATTCAATAAATATATTTAAAATAACTTATTTTGTTTTAGTTAAAGATACCTAATAACTTATTTTTTTTATAGTTAAAGATACCTGTGGTATCTTCTCCATAGGTCGACTTTATGTTTGTACCAGTACCATAGGACATCTTGGGAGATAGTCAAGAACACTGCCTCCTTAGTGGTCCATGCCCTAAGAATCTGTCTCAAACTAATTTCTTGGTCCTCTAATGCCATAAAAATGCCCTTTTGCCTCTGTCCCTAGCCTATGGTATTTACATTATTGTCTTTGAAAGTCTGCCAACTTTCTTTACCCTGAGAGTCATTTGCATTCTTGCCTCTTAGTTTTATATGAGTGATGACAGCTCTTTACTTCTCTCAAGTCAGCCATATCAAGTTTTAGGTTAGTAGACACTTGGTAATGGTAGATTGAGTTTGAGTTCAGTGGGTTAATTGAATTACTGAGTCATTGTCATCTGATTAAATGATGAATTCATTATTTGGTTAAACAGTTGATTCATCAGTTGCTTACATGTTCAATAGGTTGGCTGGTCAATGTAGAAATCTATATTCAAATTATAGTCAGGGGTGACTACTTACCTGCTCTTTTATACTTAGTCTTTTTTAATATATTTTTCAATTGCTCACTAAATTTTGTTTAATCTAACAAATTGCTTCTTTTCTAATTCCAACAATGGGATTAAAAGTGTGTACTTGTATCCTGTAAGTTATTTTAAAGTCAAATCAAATATCACAAACAGAATAAACCAAAAAACATCTTAATTACATAAAGTATACTGCTACAGAGGCAGATTAAAAAATAGTCTAGAAGAAGTTAGAGAAGTCAAATAATTAAACATATGAGAAAATTGTTGGCTCAGACTCTTTTTCTAAGAGACTTGGAAAAACTGGAGCATGATTTGAAAACTCCTTTATTCCTCACTTTGCATTTCTCTCAGACTTTTTCATCTTAACTTTGCTATGTCTTATACTTCTTTTTCTTCAACTATAGATATTTTTTTTATTGTTAGAGTAACAGTTTGGGTCTACAGTAAAAAATAAATACATACATAAACACATAACTAATTTTTTCAATTTATAAAACATTTCATTTTAACTAAAAATCAGATATAAAATATTGCTATAGATTTTTTCTAATTACAGAATAATAATATAGCATAAAGTAATCAACAACTCAGAAAGCCAAAATTAGCACAAAGGAGGAAAATTGTCCAATAATCTCATCTCTGAACACATATTATATATGTATATATGTGTGTGTGTGTGTGTGTGTGTGTGTGTGTAATACTTTGTTTTTGTCTCTGAATGGTACCAGAACACTTCTCTTAAATTGAAATGAAATGACAATTTTTACTACCAGCTTCTAGAATGTTCTGGCTTCAGCATTATTCATTTCTGAATTGTAGTGGGGTGGGTTTTACCTCTTTATAGTCTATGATATCTCACCTATTTGAGTGACATATTTGGGCCTATTTTTCAGAATAAGTTCAGCCTCCATGTTTTGGGGGGGTTTGAGGGCATTAACTTGCTCTCAGTTAAGGATTTTGCAATTCAGGTATCTCTGAAACGAAGGCAGAAGCATATCTGTGGTGGGACCATCATCTCTCCACAGTGGGTGATTACAGCTGCTCACTGCGTTGCGAACAGGTAAGGATGGCCAAGTGCATGGACAGAAGTCAGATTACCCCTTTCTCACCCATGCAGTCAGCAGGATAGTTCTATTAAAACATGTTATTGTTGATGTAGGTGTTAGTGCAGGAACATCTTCATTGCATAACACAATTAGGACTCAGTGACATTGCAGAGGGTACTCAACTTGGAAAAAGCAGACATTCCTTGCAGGAGTAGAATACTTCATTTACTTAGTATAACTGGAAGTTAATAAAGAATCATGCTCAAATGAGATTGAAAAATATCACAAAGATATATTTGTGGAAGTGCTCTCCCACTTTTCTTAAATTTCAAAGAAAAATAATCCAGATCATTATGTGTCTTAATAAATAGATAAAGGAAAAAGAGGCCAGTAGAACACGAAGAAGGCTCCATTGTCTTCTTCCCCACTGACCCTGCCTCGCTGAGTTTCAATCTGACAACTTCCACTCTGCTCACTTTACTGCGTGCCTTTGTTGTCAATGCTGTGGGTCCTCACTAGACTGCAGTCAAGATCATGTTCCTGTATTTGTCATTTTTCATTTCAAGTCTGCAAACATCTCCTGGGTATTAATTTGGTCCTAATACTAGGGGGTGTCAAAGACACAAAGATGACTAAGACATAATTCCTGCCCCCAGAGAGCTAGTAGTCTAAAGAAAAGTCAACTGATAATTTCACTTCAACATGGTGGGTGGTTAGATGAGATACTACATGTTAGGTAAGGTACTTAATGTAGCTGAAAGTTAAGTAAGTACCAAGAGAAGATGTTGCTCTTTTCAAGTTTGTATAAAATTATCACTTCTGGAAATGAAGGGTCCCCCAAAATGGAAAACCCCAAAACTGTGACTCAGTGCATCCTACCAAGCTCCTTTCTGGTAACAGTGGAGCAGGAAGAAGGGAAATAGTCTTTCCCATGGTGTGCCACATCTCTAAATTAGAATCATGAAGGAGGTAAGAAGATACCCACTTCCCATTATAATAAGTCCCAAAACCCTGAGTGTGCTTGCTTTCTGGGATATCACAGTTATGGTGCGATTATATAATATATATCATGCATTATATCTTTGACATTAAAGCAGCATGCTGAATGGGAATCAAGTCATTCCCAAAGTTTTTCACTGATACTGAGCTACTGAAGCCAAACCATCCTCCTAGGATAGCTGAATAATGTCCACCTGAATTACAATGTCTATGCATCTTTAAACATTTCACAGATCACATTACAATGCATTCAATTTATTATATCATTGTCTCCATATGAAATGACACTTTGCTAGTTTCCCACTTGAAATGGGAATCTCTGTAGAGATTCCAACAGTATAAGTAAAAATCTCTGTTTTTTACTTATACTATTGGAATGATTGTCACTTTATCTGTTCAACAGCCTCTCACTACAATTATGGATCCATGTCATTTTGAAGAGACTAGTTTGCCCACCATTCCAACTGTACTCAGAGAATCAATGAAATTCATTGATTTTTTTTTTGTCTCCTATTCATAGAAATAGTGCATCAATTCTGAATGTTATTGCTGGAGAACATGACTTAAGCTCTATAGAACAAGGGGAACAAACTCTTGCCATTGAAACTATCATCATACACCCGTACTTCTCAACCAAGAAACCAATGGATTATGATATTGCCCTTTTGAAGATGGCTGGAGACTTCAATTTTGGTAAACATCTGAGGCTCACTCTGAAATGATGAACCCTTGTTCTCCATAACCTCTCTTCCACAGCATATAGTACATGCAGTCTAGTATATGCATATAGTATATGCTTTCTAGCTATCTCTAAGGTTCTTGGTCATGGACTTCAAGATAAGGAGTTGGGGTAGAGGGTCCCCTACCTGAAACCCTTGTGCTTCAGATATAGATTATGTCAAGTACAAACAGGGTTATTCTCTGTCTGACAAGTGACTCCTGGAGGTGTCAGGCAGAGATAACATGATTCCTATAAGGTTTTTGGGGAACCACCTAAATGTCAACTGGTAAGTGACTTAAGGTGCCCTGTCCTCCATGGATGTGATAAGCCCTGCTTTGCTCTTTTCTTCAGACCAGTTTGTGAGGCCCATATGTCTTCCAGAACTAGGGGAACAATTTGAGGCTGGATTTATTTGTACAACTGCAGGCTGGGGCCGCTTGACTGAAAGTAAGTACTTCTATATGACTCTTACTAGATATCAGGATTTATCATCTTATCATAGCACTACAAAAATAATTTATTTATATATATTTTTTACATCATCATTCATTTTTGTACAATGTTTGCTTTCTTCTCTCAGGTGTAGTCCCCATAGAATTCCCACCACCAGTTCACCTGTGCACCATCACCATATCCCTTGTGCTCTTCCTGCCCTCGTTTTGATCCCTCTCCCTCCTCGTCCCCTTGCAGAATGTCTCTGATATATAGTTGCTTATTTTTGCTTTGTTGTGTTGTGTTTTCATTAGAAAATAGAATTTTTGATAACAATTGTGTTAATATTTTTAAAAGTAGAGAGTATCACATCATATGTAGAAATTCATGTCTGTCCAAAAGACACAACCCGAATGGTGCATCTTCAACTCAGGAGGGTTGAAAGAGCACCTTGCTGGGGCTCTCATCTCTGTGTTTTGTAGACGGCAACCTTCCTCGAGTCTTGCAGGAAGTGAACCTGCCCATTTTGACCCAGGAGGAGTGTGTGACAGCTCTGTTAACCCTCAATCAACCCGTCAGTGGGCAGACCTTTCTCTGCACAGGCTTCCCAGATGGAGGGAGAGATGCATGCCAGGTAGGTGGCAGCAGCCGGGCAGACAAGTCCCAGACAGGGTTTCCCTCAGCCTAGTCCTCAGCTTAAGGCTGAACAAAGGCTGTAGATAGATAAGGCTGGACCCTGGGAAGAAGAGCCAGGAGTGACGGGAGATGCAACAGTTTAAACAACCTGTTTTTAAGCAGGCAATGTGAATTCAGAGACAATCTTCTGTTCTTTCCAAAGACCAAATAACAAAGATAATACCAATAATGAATTCGAGGTTCTCCACTCCTAAAGCACAGCTGGCATTTTCCTATTTAGAGATTACTAGTGTGTGTGTGTAGTGGGCTCTTTGCTTTCCTGCCATTTCTCCTGCTGATAAAGACCTGAGCTTGGTTTAACTGCTGGGCAAAACTTCCCAGGGTCCATAGGGTGAGACAGAAAAAGGAAGAACCTTTGATGAAAACCTGGGATGAGGAAGAAGAATCGATAATAGACAAGCTCAGATAGTATTTGATGATCTCATGTGAATTGTGTCTGGCCATCCTCCAGGGCCCTGAATCCATATAACACTGATCCTCATCTAGCAACTTTGAGTGGGAATAAGTGAGCACTTTAGGGTACAGACACTGATAAGGACAGTAACAGAGGTTTTTCCCCCTCCAGGGAGATTCGGGAGGTCCCCTCATGTGCCGGAATAAGAAGGGGGCGTGGACTCTGGCTGGTGTAACTTCCTGGGGTTTGGGCTGTGGTCGAGGTTGGAGAGACAACATGAGGAAGGATGATCAAGGAACCCCTGGCATCTTCACAGATATCAATAAAGTGCTTCCTTGGATCCACAAACATATCCAAATTGGTAATGAAGCCAGCACACAAGGTCAAGAAGCTAGGGCCAAAAAGCACATCAGCAGAGTCTAGACAAGTTAGGACCGCTGAGCACACACACCCACTCTGCTGGGTCCTTGGTGCCGCCTGTAAGGGCAGTGATATTTACTATGTCTAAACCAAGAGTAAAACGTGGCAATGGTACAGATATAGATATTCAGTGAAACATGAATCCACCCACGCTACACTTTGTCAAATTCGCCTTTAACTGAAATCATCTCATTTCATAATTGAAACTGACCATATGTTTTTTGGGCAGGGAGTGCAAGGGAGGGGGCCAGGGGCATATAATGGGTAGGAACCTGGGATGTCCATCCTACAATACACAGGATAGCCTTCCCACAACAAAGACCATCCAGTCAAAAATGTAAGAAATGCCATGCTTGAGAAAGCCTGGCAGAAATTCAGGTACAGGAAGTCTGACAAGGCAGGAGTCTAGACACAACTTTCTGACCTGTGAGTTCATTAAAACTTCATTTCTGCCTCCACGTCCAGACTTAATGGTTTTCTTAACTAGTAATTTTCAGCCTCAATAGGGCTCCTTTCCCAAAGGGGTTCATTTAAATTGGTTCCAGAAGTTCCAAATGGGTTTGTTTTCAAGGGTATGACACTGGCAGGGGGTCTGAGCCCTCAGTTAAAGTCTGAGGTTTTTTTCAGCAAGTCTCCTGTGGGTGGGGGCGTTACTTCCCTCTCCAGCTTCCCTTCTCGTGTAAAACAAAAGGGGTAGGTCAAATCATGTCTTCTTACTGTATGTGACCTCCAAACTAATCATGGCCTTTTTCTCAATTAGCACAATTAAACAATATGCCATCATCTTAAAACACCAGGGCCCCTTTCTTGCTTTGTCAATTTAGCCATTCTGTTCTTTCCACGGGTTAGATTTTCATTAGTTGCACATGAATCTAAAATTCTGCACTTGTGAGCCAGGGAGATGCTAACTTCTTGAAATATTATTCAGGATACCACAAACTGTGAATGCATCTTTCTTTTTCTTTCCCAGGAAAGCAGATAAAGAGCTCCAAAGGTGGGTATTTCTCATAACATGCTCCAACAGAAATTAATATCTAGCATTTCTGAATATCAATCCCATTTATAATCAAAAGTCTTCCTCTGCAAAAGCTCTCTGCGCAGGTAGAGAAGCACCACTTGGAGCACCCACAGCCATTCCTCAGCCAGTAGGAGCTATAGATCTCCCTTTTCATTTCTGGTCAATCCAGGGCTCCAACTCAAAAACACTTGCCTAAATCCAGCTTTAAAGCAGAAACTCAAGGGAGGTGAGTGAGGCTGTGCAGGTGTGGTCAGTAAGCTACGCACCTTACCCTGAGTGTCCCCATCTGTACAGGAGGTGAGTGTTCCTCCGTGAGTCTGTAATGAATTCACTCTGTGATTTGGGGAAAGCTCCTTCCATCTCTGGACCTCTTTTTCCTCAACTACAAAGGAAAATGCTACGACACATTTATCTCAAATTGTCAGTGGTCCCGTGAGTCTGAGGAACTATCTACATAAAGCAGTGTACAAGAATAGTCTCTGAACTCTCAGAGGAGCAAGCAGCCACTTTTGGCTGAAAAAAAGGGGGAGGCTTTGTTTTTGTTTGCTTGTTTTAATTGAACCTTTCTTTTAACGATGATAACATTAGAATCTACCCCATCAGACAAGGGAAGCTTTGAAGCACAGATGTCTTTTAAGCTTAATCTTAAAGAACAAGTAGTATTTTATCAGGTAGAACAGGAATACAAGTAAATAATAATATTCCAGCTCAAGGAATCATCCTTATCAATGAATAGATACTAAAGGATGGAGATAGGAGATTTTCAGGTTTAAATATAGATCAATAAGCAGCTAAGGTATGGAAGGTGATGTATTTTATGAGGGAGAAGATGAGAAAGATAACTTGAGGCCAACTTATGGACACTTTGAATGCTAATCAAAAAAGTTTGGGTTATATTGAATCAGAGGAAGTTGATTGCTACATAAAAAGATGAGTGATATTTTAGTGATACAAGGATAGCACACAGGCATAGATTAGAGAGGAAATAACTCAAGATGGATTTATGAGACTACACATTAGTTCAAGAGATGAGAAATGAGTGCTTAAACTAGGGCTATCGCCAGAGAATAGAGAGGAAGGAAGAGAAACAAGAAGAATTAGAGCTTAATAGTCAATTAGATGAAGAGTGGTGAAGTAGACAAAAGAATCAAGGATGACACCAGGGTTTTGCACATAAGAGACTAAGAAAAGGGTGCACAAAAGTAATCAAATCATAAAGGAAGCAAATTTGTTGACTCAGAACAATACTTTTATAGCATATTAAGTTCTGGGGGAAAATACATAAGAAACAATTAAAAAACCAGGTCTGAATCTCAAAAAGGTAGAGCTAATCATTGAAACTGAGTGCATAACTGAGGCAGATCTCATGACGAGAGAGATGAAGCTAAGGGTAAAATCTGGGAAATGTCTATATCTATAGAATGGAACTGTGGGATCAGTAACAAAAGAGCAAAGGAGAAGAAATCAAAGAACCTCAAGGTCAAGCAGAATCTAAAAGGAACAACAATTAAAAGGCATCACAGACGCTAAGACAGGAAAAGAATTTGTGAAGCATAAGGAAGAACCAGGGGTTATGGCATCTCTCTGGGTTCTGGAAGGAGTGCCATCCCTGTGAGCCTGATTCTTGTGACTTTTCCTCCCAGCCTCTTGCAGTGAGCAGGACCCTGTGATCAGCCAACCTGAGGGGGAGCTGCACTTCCCAGAAAGCCCCTACTTACATCTGGAGAGCAAGCAGTGAGTAGTCCCTCTGCCAGTCCTCTCCGGACACCCTCCTCCAGTCTGACTGTGCCCATTATTTGGATGGTGCCAATCACTTTCTATCTAGAAATAACACCCTCTCGATGTATCTGCCTGCAGACTGTGTGTCTGGACCCTATTGGCGCCAGAGAAAATGCATGTGTTGCTCAATTTTTCCTACTTGGACGCAGAGTCTTGTTATCACAATTACCTGTCAATATATTCTTTAGAAGACAGACTTATTGGTGAGTGGATTTTCACACTGTCAAAAGGACACTAGTGTTAAAACTGCTAATGGGGCCTAGTTAGACTATGTCTGGCACAGAGGCATCTATGGATACCACCCTCCCTGTGTCCAATTTTAACACTCAGAATTGACAGTGGGACAAACAGGAACTGTATCTGAGTCTGAGTGATGACTAGAAGGCCACAGTGCATTTCAGTCATTGCATCTGCTTCCCATTGAGTGAGGATCCTAGACTGATTTGCTAGAACTGGTCGCCATCAGGAGTAATACATAGACATTATAGGGCCTGGGTGTGGGAAGGAACTTGCAGGGGAGATGCTGATTTCCTAGGCAAGCTAATAGGGCTAAGAAGAAAAATACCAATGGGTAACCATGAGTAGGAGACAAAGGTTATTTACATAAGAAAGAGAAATGGCATTGCACACCTGTGGTTCTTAACTGGTGGTGTAGACATTTGACAATGCCTTAGAGGCATTGTTGGTAGTCGCAGCTAGAGGCAATATTACTGGCAGCTGGTGGGCAGAGGTCAGGTTGCTGCAAAACATCCTATAATGCACAGAACTGTGCATTGTAAGCCTTGAAAATCCTGAAGTCTCATGACAAGTTCAGTTATCCTGAAACCTTTGTATGGGTGCTGTTTTTCCAGACCCTGAACAAAGACTCTTCCTTCTTGTGTTGCAGGGAAATTCTGTGGAGAAAGCCTGGCTTCATCAGTTCTTGTTGGGTCCAACTCTCTAAGACTGAGGTTCATCTCTGATGGCACAGATTATGCTGCTGGGTTTAATCTCACTTATAAAGCTCTTAAACCAAACTATCTTCCTGGTAAAACCATTTCTTTTTCTCACACACTACCTGGGACTTTTGCAGACACAGAGGTCCCTTAGGAAGGGAAAGGGCAGAGTGCTCCCTCCCAAGGCCTGCTTGGCTCGGGTGGAGAGGAATGCGAGCTGGTGAGGCACTGGGTGCAGGCACTCCTTCTGCATCCTGTGAACTCATGTTTATTGCACACCTACGCAAGGTGATGGGCCAGATAAGTTCTTGAAAATCAGTACACAAAGTTCCTCCTCCTTCTAGTGTCCTTGGGGGAGACAGGAAGAAGAACAAAGAATTCCTCTTTGTTTGGGGTATGCCATTGTCTGGAAGTTTTCTCATGTTTTTCAGATTCAGGTTGCAGTTCCTTAGCCATCCATTTTGAAGAAGGCTTCATTCAGAGTCCTGACTATCCTAAAAACTACAGTGCCATGGCTCACTGTAAATGGGTTTTTCAAGCCCCCAAGTATCACCTAATTAAGGTACTGACTCTGTTAGCCTTACTTTGCTGTGGTATCTTCACAGAATAGCCCACACAAGCACCATGAGGGAAGAGGTTTTTATCTAATTTACTTACTGCTGTATCCTTAGTTCCTGGTACCTGCTACGCAAGGCTCCTCCATAAAAACCTGCTGACTAATTAACAGCCTATTCCCCCATGTAACTACCCACACTTACCACTAGATGGCAACTGTGCACCACACTTTTCAGTACTGCTTCCTCAGGGTCTAGTTCCTTCTAGTGATAGAAACAAGTGTTTCTCCTTATTAAACTGCTAACAAAACCCTTTGTAGGGCACAGCTTACAAAATTCAAGGACAGTGAGTTCTAATAATCGAACTGCCTAAGCAAGGGATCAGAGCAAGCTCTGACTTAAACTTTTATCTTCCATCACTAGCAATAAATGTTCCCTTAATTCTGCTTCCTTCTGAAATGCCTGCCTTGACTTTCAGGAAGAGAAGATATGTAATGACTTCCTCTATGTCTTCTCTTGATCTTATTTGGATGGGTCCTGCCAGTAATTGGAAATTAGCATTTTGAGTCATAACGATGTGCCTACCATTTGGTTTAGAGATTAAAGGGTCCATTTCCAAACATATCCCAGTAAGGTTTTAAGAAATGTTTGCATGAATCCTGTTCATCTTCTTTTCCCCATGACTACATTCACCATGATCATTCTTTGTCTCCATTCTTGTCCTTTCCACTCAATGCCTTGTATCTTCTGCTGAGCGCTCAGGCTCCACTGAATCCCTATCATCTGTGTGTTTAAGATCCAAATTCCTAGCCCATCAGTCCTATCTCCCACCGTTTTTCACTTCAAGCTCAATGGCAGTGCCATCAAACAACTTGAAAATTGTTCTTTCTGTTTCTTTGTTCCTCCTTCTTGTTCCTCCCGTCTAGATACTTCCCTTCTTGTCTGAAACAAAAGAAGTGCCCCATAGAGGAAATTCTATAAGAGAAGGAAAAAGCAATGCATAAACATATTCATATTTTCGAGAGAACAAAAAATGAAACTCTCATAATAGAGAGAAATGTAGCCATTAAACAGGATCATAGAAAATGCAAAAATGAGAGGCTTGTCATGATATATTCTTGGTGAACCCAGATTGGTTGCAAGTAATCATTCTTTTTAGGCTTTTGTACACAATATCTTTTATAATATGCTCTAGAATTTTGTCGAGGTTTACATTTAAGCTTAGCAAGCAGGATTTTCATTTCCACACATCTATGACCTCTCAAATTCACTGCATTGACTCAGACACCACCTCTGCAAGTGCTTGTGGGAGCTCAGATGACCTTTTGTTTTGCATCAGCACTAGAGTCTCTCATTCCCATGCTATATCAGAATTTGCTAGTGAGTCATAGAGATTTATTAGCAGCACGACAAAGCAGATGAGAATAGGACCCGATATATCCTTCCGAAAAGAAAGACACAGGGCCCGAGAGGTACAGCCACTTTTGATTTTGAGTCCAAAGAACTGATGGGTCAAGATGAACTATCAGGAACCAGGTGGACTATAGTAAACAGTCCTGAGAAGCAGTTGTATGTCCATGGGTTCATTTTATATCCCAAAACCAGTCTCTTTAGATAGGAAAAATCTCCACGGGTGACTCTGCTGGCCTCTTTAGAGCCGCTAGGAAACTAAAAGACTTGCATGTTTTCCCACCTTGTATTTGGCCTGTATTTAGTAGCTTAAGATGTTTCAGAAAGACTGGGAACCTGTGATAAAGCATCTTTTTCTAAGTAGCTTAAATTCCCCATGAATGCCTTCCTTACTTTTTTATCTATGGTCATTTTCCAGAACAAGTTTATCAATGAAAGTTTCTTTGCTTCATCAAAATCAGGTATTCTCTTACATCATTTACTCTGGATATAATGTAGCGTCTTCTCAGCTTTCCTTTCAGAATCTGGAAATAGAAGAAAGTGGAGACTGCACTTCTGACTACGTGACAGTGTACAGGGATGTAGAAAGGAAGGAGGAGATAGGTTGGTGTTCCCCGGAAGGCAACTCTCCCCTGATTTGCATTTGAATGGAGTTTGCAGATGTGGGGATGAAAAGAAAATCTGGCTCCATTTTCCTTCATTGCCTGGCACCAGCTCCCTGCTTCCTATGCTCTCACCACTACCACTGTGGGACAGGAAGAGCAAGAAGGAGCATCAGAGAACCATTTGGGCAGAAAATGTGGAAGACAGACTCACAGTGAACTTGGGATCACAAGGGGAAGGTGCCATTTAAATTAGCCCTATGGCTAGAACCGATTCCCTGAGGGGCATTTCCAGTGGGAGTGTTTAGAGTTAAAACAGAATGGAAAAGTTGATGGGGCACCTTTAAAAGAAGCAACCTGCCTTTCTATTTTTAAAATGAATTGTGACATATATTAGAAAAGCTTATTTCTTAACAATTATCTAAAGGACAACTTTTTTCTTCTACCCAATATCACATCTACTTGCTGGACCCTTGACCGCGTCTTGCCTGGGCTGGACTTGAACCAGCACGGCTGTGTGGCTCTGATACCCCGGACCCCGTGCTGAGCTACTCCGGTACAATGTTCATTCACTTCCAGTCTGATGAAAATAAGACCTTCAAAGGGTTTCAAGCTACAGTCTCCTTCATTCCAGAAACAGGTAAGAAGATAGAGGCACCAATCCTCAGGTCCCTATTTTTTTTTTTTTTAATTTTTTACATCATTTTTCATTTTTGCACAATGTATGCATTTTCATCTTGGTTATATTCCTCATAGGTCCCTATTCTAATCCTCAAAATATGCTCACAACTGGCAGCCTTTAAATTCCCACATGAGGGCCTCCCCGGTGGCGCAGCGGTTGAGCGCTGGGTTGCTGAGCTGTCCGCAGCCTCTGCAGCGCCGGTTCGATCCCCGGCTGCTCCCCGGCCACCAGAGGAGGGTCCCACATGGCGCGCAGACCCCTCCTGCCGCCCGCTGCTTCCCTCAGCAGTGTACTTCAGTCCTTCTGCCTGCTCTGCTCCCCGCTCTGGCTCTGGTGAATTCTCTCACCCTCCTGCGCTTCTGACTGTACCCAGTGCTTGCATAAAATAAATAAATAAATCTTTAAAAAAAAAAATTAAAAAAAATTAAAAAAAAAATAAATTCCCACATGAATATAGTCAAGTATCATTATTTGCAGCAGTTGCGTTCTAGGAGTTTGTCACAAATATCCAGTTGGTGAAAACTGAATCACTGCTCCTAGCAGAAACACGAGGTTTGTTAGGTTTCTATGAGACTCTGGTTTTGGTTGCCTTTTTTTTTTAAAGATTTATTTTTTTTATTTATGTATGCATACAAGACTGGGGTGTAGGTCAGGGGTGCAGGGGGTAAGAGGATTCACCAGAGACAGAGTGGGGAGCAGAATTACTGAAATAAACTGCTGAGGGGAGCAGGGGACAAGATAGGAGAGGTCTGGATGTGGGTTAGCTCCCCAGCTGGGGATCAAACTCCAGCTGCAGCTGCATAGCACGATAGCTCTGAGACTTAGCCCTTGTACCACCAGGGAGGCCCCCAATAGTTTCTGGTTTTATGTGTGTTTCTGTTTAAAAACACCTTATTTAATCAATATTGATGGCTCAATAACACTGAATGCAAGACCAATGCTGCTATGACTCATACCTGAACAAGCTTAACCACCATTTATTTTCCCCATAAGCTACATCACAGACTACCTTATGAGTCCCACTACTCATGACACTTCTACTCCAGCCTTATATTTCCGGCCATTTTAAACAGCAAAATCACCGACAGAAAGCACAAAAGTGGAAAAAAAAAAAAACCACCAAATCCAAAACCTCAACATGGCACTAAGTAGACCATGAAAAAGACATTTGTTCATAGTGTGAGATGTATACAATGAAACACGAGCATCTCCTCATTTGACCTTAGCTATGAGCACGTATACCACGTGATTCCATGTCCATGTATGTCCCTGAATGACCATGAAGGCACCATGTGTATTTGTTCTGAGATACAAATAATTTTAGTGAATAAGTGAATCAGCAAATACAGAATTCACAAAGAATGAGAACTGACTGAGTCTTGGTCTGTCCTTACTGTACGTATGTGCAATCTCAGAAAGAGCCATTTTAGACTCATTTTCTTCAATCTTGCAGTAAGAGAAAAACACATGTCCAGTAAGAATCTGGGTGGGGATTAAATCGGATCAGGTATACTTGGCCATGAGCAAGTCTGTGACATGCAACAGAAGTTCAGTCATGTGAAATACCTTGACCAACTCCCCATGCCTAGACACATGAATCACAGTTTCCTTCAAGTCCTCCATCCGTGAGCCCTCTGTACAAGTCCCACAGAGCCTGTGATCTGCCCCTAAGTTTTTCATTCTTATCAAACAGTAAGCATCTACTGATGGCAAAACCAGTTTATTATTAAAATATTTCACTTTTTAGCGAAAATACCCATAGAGTCCAACTGACTGAGATGCCCCAGAATTCGAAGAATAATTTTCTGGTAAGTCCCAAGCAAAACATGTTTGCATAAGCTGAGCAGTATGTATTATGCTTATACCCAGATTTAAATATATCCAGATCAGAGGATGAGTCACTGTTTCTGGAGACCTGGAATGTTCTACCTGAGGGGCCTGATTATTCTGGTAAGCTGTTCTGGGGAAGGATCCAGAGTGTATCAGACAGAGTTTTAACCAAAACCAAAACCAAAACCAAAAAACCCAAAAATATCTTGGAGTCCTAACCTCCAGTACCCCAGAGTGCAGGCTGATTTAAATCTAGAGTCTTCATAGAGGTAATCAGGATAAAATGAGGTCATTGATGTGGGCCCTAATTCAATATGACTGGTGTCCTTATAAAAGGGGAAATTTGGATGCAGAGAGAGACACAGAGATCATTTGGCAGAGATTCGGGTGATGCAGCATCTACCAACAAGGAACACAAATGATTGCCAGTGAACCAGCAGTACCTATGGGAGAGGCCTGAAACAGATTCTCCATCAGCACCCTCAGAAGGAACCAGTCCTTCCAATACCTTGATCTTGGACTTCTAGCCTCCAGAACCATGACACAATAAATTTCTGTTCTTCTAAGCGCTACAATTTTTATTATGGCAAACTTATTTTATTATGGCAAACCTAGCTCACTAATACACCAGGAATTGGCTATGAAATTGAGGGGCTAAGTGAGTAAATCCTTGGGGTGAGCACTCAGAAAGGGAAGGTCACAGGACACAAAAATTCCACTTGCAGGGTGGAAGCTATTCTCCACAGGCAGACTTTTTTCTATCTTTGGGAAAATCTCTTGTCTGCTTTTAAATTTTTCTAATTTATCAAGTCAGACTCACCTAGATTCTCCAGGATCTTCTTTACTAAAGTCAAATGAAAGGGACTTTTATTGCATCTGCAAAATCCCCTCACAGCAGCACCTAGATTAGTGATTGATTGAATAACTGGGGGCCATAGTAAGTTGACATATCAAAGAAATTGTCACATAAAGCTGTATGGGATGTGGCCAATGTCCCTTCTGCTCAAAGCAGTGCTGAAATATTTCCAGTCACAAGAATGAAAATTCCCAGCTTAGGCAATGCATTTAGCGGGAATGGCTAAATAGTGTGCTGAATGGTCATCGACTCTCACTGTCCCTCCCCTGCAGAAAAGTGAGAGCGCTACTCACTGCCTATGAGCACTGAGATGTGCTGAGCTTTCTCTTTGCTTTGTTTCCTCCATTACAGCCAATGACATCCATGGGGTGCCCTAGTCCCTATGGAACACATGTGAGGTGAGCAGGCTGAGGATAGGGATGGAAACTTTTTACAGCTTGCCATTTTGACCATGTGTCAAAAGAAAAATGAAATTTTTTGAGTCCAAGTCCTCAGCTCTGTTGGCCCAGAAACTGTCCAGAGTGAAAAGCCTCACAGAATTTGAGCCTCACATTCAATCAGAAGATACCCAATATTCTTGACTGTATTAATATGTGACAGGGGTCCTAAATTTCTAGTGAATGGATTATGACATGGAATACACACATCCACACCTCCCAACTTCATTTGGCAAAGTTCTTTGATGGGCAACAAATACCAGGTATCATCCTCATGAACACTGCATCCGGGTATGTGAGAGACCTGCTGAAGCATTGCCCATTGCCTTTCTAGTAGGCAGATGTTCCTGGCCACTCACAGGGCAGCAAACGCCAGAGTTCAGTCCTGCTATCTGGCTTCCCTCTTTCATGCTCCAAGCAGAGCTGGCTCAAGGTAACACTTTCTGTCTTCAGGACAGTCTATAATCCAATGGTTTAGACCAGAGATTTCTCCACCCTAGACGCATCATGGTGTGTCACACTGTGATCAGATCCTGGTATTTCCTAATATCCTCAATCATGTATTTAGAAATCATGCGTAGATTGTAATAAGGCTAGCCCATTGTCCGTGCAGTGCAGGAACTTAATCAGTGGTGGCTAACAGGGCTACACCTGTTACAGAAAGCTAGTTTCATTCATTATGCTCTATGTCATCCTTACGAGTTCTAGGGACAAATGAATTTGCCCCTCTACACACATAACAGACATTTTAGTTTCTTAGAATAATGTATTTATTTTATGCAATATACATTAACAAATGTGGCATAGGGAAGAACTGGACTTGTAGCATACAACTATATTGATCTCAGGTATTCTCATCCTGAAACCCATTCTAACAAGCCCCTGCCACAACAGATGCTATTTGGGAAGAGTTGAAACAACTGCTGTAAATATTGGTGGAGAACTCAATTAGCATCCTTGGCATAACTCTGGAGACACAGCTGCTGAAGAAGGATTCCCCTGGGTGTGGGAGGGACGACAGGAATAGAACTCTACAAGCTGTTCTTTTGACTTCCCAAATACATTTTCTGGCAAATTCTGGTCATTCTTGGTTTCTCAAACACTTTGTCTTCATACAGTCTTAGACCTCAGGTCCATGCTAGTGCCATATTTCCAAAAGTGGACATGGTCTTCTATGCCACATTTTGTCGTGAAGACTCTCCAGAAACAAAGTATCACCACTGGTTTATGCAATCATCAGTGCTCATAGTGTGCTGAATGGTCATCGACTCTCAACTCTCAGTTGAGTTCTGATCAGGTGGCATCAACATACTTTAGTTTAAAATGTTTGATGAGGGGCCTCCCCAGTGGTGCAGCGGTTGAGCGCTGGGTTGAGAAGCTGCCCGCAGCCTCTGCAGTGCGTGTTCGAGTCCCGGCTGCTCCCCAGCCACCGGAGGAGGGTCCCACATGGCACGCAGACCTCTCCTGCCGCCTGCTGCTCCCCTCAGCAGTGTACTTCGGTCCTTCTGCCTGCTCTGCAACCCGCTCTGGCTATGGTGAATTCTCTCACCTTCCCGTGCTTCTGATTGTACCCAGTGCTTGTATTAAAAAATAAAAAAAAGCACATTAAAAAAAAAAAGTTTGATGAGGAAAATCTAGGCAACTTCAAGAAATATTTTTGGAATATTGGAAATGGCGTTGGGTGCTTGGAGTGGATTAGATGTTCCTCCATGTTCTCTCATAAAGTTCAATCCCAGTAGATTAGACGTGTCTGATGAGATCCTTTGTTCAGAATGACATTTTTATACAATGCACAAAGGACAGGCCAGAGCCAGGACAGAGAGGAAGGGACAGAGTGGGTGGGCATCTCATGTGGCCTGGCAGAGACAAAAGCTGTGACCAGAGAGCAGAATGCTGCTGAGGGAGGAGTTCACATGAGGAAACAGACCTGTACTTGGAGCGACAAAAACATCAGAGCCAGAGGGGAGGGGGACCTCCTGGCTCCTCTGATCCAAATCACAAGAACATTTTGGATATAAATAAATCCAAATATAAATAAATAGCCTTAGGAGACAAAAACAATAGTTTATTTAGTGTAATGGTTTCCCATTGATACTGTAACAAATTACCATAAATTTACTGACTTTAACAGGACAAATACAGTTTCTTAGAGCTCTGGAAGCCAAAATTTGAAATCAGTTTCAGCGGGATAAAGCCAAGGTGGTGACAGGGTTGGTTCCTTCCTATGAATTGGAGGGAAAATCCATTTCCTTGCTTTGTTCAGTTTCTAGTGGTCACCTGTGTTCCTAGGCTTGAGGTCCCTTCCTCTGTCTTCAAAGTTCTTCACTCCAATTGCTCCTTCTGTCACCACATCATCTTCTCTGTCTCCTCCTACATCCTTCTAATAAAGAATATTGTGATCATGCCAGACACACTGCACAATCCCAGATAGTCTTCCCATCTCAAGATCTTTAATTTAATCACAGGAAAGCCCCATTTGCTAGCATTCACACACTTTAGAGATCAGGACATGGGTATATTTGGCAGCAGGGAGGCATTATTCAGTCCACTATAATTACCATAATTTAGGTTTCACAGCTAGAACCTCAGAGGTGATCATTTGTTCAGGGGGGAAAATAGAAATAAGTCATTTTTAAGGTTTAAAAGTTAATGAAAAGTCACCACAGCCAGGATATTGCTTATAGAGAAGACACTTTGAGCATCAACTTGGTTAGGGCACTGGCTTCCCCCAGGGAGCCTTAGCAATGAACCAGACTTGGTTACCCCATGGAAGAAGCTGTCCTGGGGTGGGGTTTAGGGCAGAGTCTCATATATGCTCAGTGACAACAACAGATGCTCATTCTATTCTTTTTTTCCAGCAAACATTTGCTGAGAGCCTACTCTTTGCCAGACTCTCCCCCAAGTTGGGGATTAAGACATGGGAGACATGTACTCATGGTCTATTTCAGGAGATCAGTAGATGGTTCAAGCCAGGCAGCACAAGAGGGGTACATATAAAATGTGTAGGGGCACTGAGCAGGAGAGTCATTGCCCTTTCAAATGACAGGGAGCCCAGATAAACACCTAACTTTTATCCTGCTCTGAGAGTAATGTGGGAGGATATGCCTTTTTTCTCTCTAGTAAAGCAGAGAATACTGTGCAGGGAAAATCAGAAGGGAGATTGGGATTGTAGAGGAAAACTACTAAGAAATTGACAGGAAAAGGTGAGATGCCTCTGGATTAGAAAGCCAAAAATAAAGACTGGTGATTGGATCAAGGGAAAAAACGAAGTCTGTTTCTTCATTCATGCACACATGAATGAAATAAATATCTACCGAGCATCTAACAATTGCCAGACACTGTTGCAAGCCTGGAATATGGTGGGAGTTCATAGACAAAATAATTCCCACCCTTATGAACTTAATGTTCTGCTGGGAAAAGATAGTAAACAGGTAAATAGTATGTCATCTGGTAATAGGTATTATGGAGATAAATTAAGTAAGGAAGAAGTTTGATAGAAAGGATTGTTCCTCTCATTAGCTACATTTATGGAGAATCTTCCATGTGCCAGGCAGTGAGGTGAATGCTGTAGGATGGACCTAAGTTCATTCATTCATTTGTTAAATATTTATTGAATGTTAACATGTGACAATCACTGTGCTAAACCCTGAGGAAACAAGGTCTCTGTCAAAATGGAACTTCCAGACTCATGTGAGAGTCGGTGTAGGGTAAATAAAAAGTATCATGCTTTTCTGCCCTCCCGCCATTAGGATTGATGATGGATCCCTGCGGTCCTGAATGCATGCCTGATGGCGGACACCTGGAGTAGGGTGTAGGCATGCCTAAGTGGGTACACCTGGGCTGAGAGACTGGGCTTATAAGGGCAGTGTCACGGGGATGCCAGCAGAACCACGAGCAGAGTGAAAGAGACGCAGAGACCACCAGAGAACGCCAGGGAGCCCAGAAAGAGTGAAGACTTGCTGGAGGGTGGAGGACTGCCAGCCTCCCAGCCCCCCGGCCCCCCTGCCTGCTGTGTACCCAGTAAAATCCCAATAAAAGCCTGAAAAGCCACTGAGGGCTCCAGGACTCCCTCCTCCTTCACCCCATCTGCTCGGGTCATAGAAAACCTGCACTGTACAGTTCCTGCTGCTACAGTCATTCATTTAGCAATTAAATATTCGGAATGCATAATTACTAACTGAAGAAAAACTCTGAATAGGATGTAACATGTACACATATTTAAATTGGGAGATCAGAACAGGCAGTATGGTAGTGCCACAGGGATTGGGCAACTAGATCAGCATAAAAAACAGCCAGAACCAGATTTGAACATATAGGGAAACTCATAGATGGTAGGGGGGACATTGCAGGTTAGTGGCCAATAAAAGTTACCTATACAGAAAAAAATTTAATTGGATTCTTCCCTCATATTTACACATAAATCAGTTCCAAATGGTTGAGAAATTTCAGTATGAAAGGAAAACTTTAAATCTTGTCAGAGAAAATATAGACTCTATTAGGAATAGACAAATTTCAAAAAGCACTAAACATATAAGCAAAATGAAGGCTTACACATTGATCTAAATGAAAGACAGAGAAAGATAATTTAAAAGGGAAATAGTTGTTAAGCTGGAAGGAAACATATTTATCTCATAAAACTTTAAAACTGGCATGTAAACGGTCTTGAAAAAATATATATACGTAAGATTCCTAAAATCAGTAAGAAAAAGACAACTCAGTGAAACAATGGGAACAAATCTGAGCAGATTCCCCCCCCCCCAGAAAAAAAGAAACTCCATGAGAAATAAACATATTAAAGATGTTCAACCTCCTCAGCAATGAGGTAATGAAACTAGGTTCAGGGCCTCCCTTGTGGCGCAAGCTGTTGAACGCCGGTTGAGCACCGCACTGTGAAGCTGTCCATAGCCTCTGCGGCGCTGGTTCCATGCTGGCCGGCTGGCGAGGGTCCCACGTGGCGCAGCAGACCTCTCCTGTCTCACCTGCTGCTCCCCTCAGCAGTGTATTTCACTCAGTCTGCCTGTTCTGTTCCCCGCTCTGTCTCTGGTGAATCCTCTCACTCCCCACACCTCTGGCCCATACCCCAGTTCTTGTATGCATAAATAAATCTTCAAAAAAACAAAAAGAAACTAGGCTCACAAGCCATCACTTTATACTTGCTATGTTACAGGGCAGAAACAGGGGCACCCCAGACCCCACAAACCTACCTACTCTAAATAGGTTCTGCCATCCCCCACACCAACACAAAACATACGAGACTTTAATTGAATACAATTAAGAAACAAAACAGGAAAGGCAAAGAATCTAGTTAATAAATCAAGCACCCGGAGTTACCCATCCCCTCGTGGGTAAAAGTCCACCCAAGTAGGATTGGCCCAGAGCAAGACCCCAGAGCCTGCCACAAGTCTAAAGCATCTTCCAGTGGGGACCCACAGAAAAGGATCAGAAACAACCAGACAAGTCTGGAGAGAAGAGAGCAAAATCAAAATCAAGACAAAAACCGCCATTGTCATCTCCCCACGGGTCTCTCACCCACATCTGTGTCACCCAGTCCACGACCAAAAGGCAAGCGCAGTTTCCTCACGGGTCTCTTGGCTCCCTGTGCCTCCCCCAGGGCTCCTTCTGGCTCCATCCTGCTTCCTTCCTTAGTCTCCTCTGCAGCTTCTTCTCTCCCTGCTCAGCTCCACCCTCCCTTGGGTGGGGCAGGAAACCTGGAACCTCCCCCTTCCCTGGGGACCACCCTGTTACATACAGCTAGACTCAAAAATTGAAATGTCTGACAATAATATCCCGGCACCAGCAGATCTTAGACGCTGAGCAAGTTTGGTTGGCTGGGACGTTGTTTCTTCACTTCTGTCTCACTCTCGCCCAGGAGACTGGGATTCATCTTCACCGCTGACTGTAGACCTGATGGGTAGAGAGGGTTGGGTGAGGGATGGTACCAAGTTCTGAATGCATGATAAAGAACACCCAGAACCGTCTAGGCCCGCCATTTTGCCTCCTCTTCTCTAATGCTTTGACTTTTCTTTCTCTCCCAGTGATGAATGAACTAAGGAATGAAAGAATGGACACTCTGAATATCTTCTTTAACTCGACTTCCCGTTCCCCCAGACTCCCTTCCCCTTCACCCCCAACCCCTCCACACACCCCGGCCATGGACCAGGCTCTCTGAATTACCCTAAATTCCCATCACCCCAGCCTCGCCCCAACATAAGCAGGAGAGGGGTTCTCTGCCGTGGTCCTTCCGAGTGTGTGGGGAGAGGACCCGGATGGAGAAGGGGCCACGGAAGAAATAGGGGGTGATTCACCAGGACGAGGAAGCCCCCAGCTCCGCGTAGCGTCCCGGCAGCCCGGGGGACCCGGGATCCCCGACGCCGGGGTCGGGGCAGGAGCCTAGTCTGTCCTCGAGAAAGACCCTCCGCCCCGGGGCCTCGCGCTCAGCCGCTGGGGTCCCGCCGCGCGTTTCCGGGCGCCGCCCCCGCGGATCTGCGAGGCTGCGGGGTGGGCCGGGCCGGGCGGGGCGGAGCTGCGGGGCGCGCCCTCGAGGCGGCGGGCCCGCGGGGAGGGGGAGACGCGCACCCGCCGCCCGGCCGGCCGCTCTGGGACGACATGTTCGGCGTTTCCTTCCGGGTAGGACCGCGCCGGCGGGACGGCCTGGGGCCGAGAAGCCTGAGCCGGGTGGCGGGGATGTTTGACGGGGCCCTCGGGAGTCGGAATGGGGGGCGAGGGTGAGGATTGGGGGTCGGCTGGCAGGGAGCGGGCAGCCAGGCGCCCGGAGCAGAGGCGAGTGAGTGCCCACCTTTCCTGCTGGGGGCCGGGTCGCTCTGGGAGTTGGGGTGGAGGCGGGAGGCTCTGAAGCCATGGCTGTCCCGCTACTTTTTCTGGGGTGCTGCCCAGCTTCTTCTGGGGCTGTGGGGTGGGGAGGCTACAGCCGCGCCTGAGCGCTGACCTGCGAGGGAGAGCAGCACCTGAGGCCCCTGCTCACCTTGTCCCACAGGACCCGTCCCTGCTCCTGGCCATCACCATCCTTGGGGTCACAGTGCTCCTCCTGGCCCTGAAGACCATGAACTCAAGGAGACAGCTTGTCACCCTGCAAAACCCTGAAACCAAATACCCGCTGCCCTTGATTGAGAAAGAGGTAATGGGTTCGCCCACCGCTCCCTTGTGAGTGGTGCAAGCAGAGGACAGGAGAGGTGGGACATGTGCTGGCTGGGAAGACAGGACCTTGGGGCAGGCATCTCAGAGCCTCGGGTTTGCTCCCCACCAGCGTTGTGGGTGTATGTGTGCTGGGAGAGCACCAGATTCCCTGGCATCCCAGCTGCCCAGCAAGGTTTCTAGAAAGCTGACGGTCTGTGGCTGTTTTCTGTTTTATTAGCAAATCAGCCACAACACCCGGAGGTTCCGCTTTGGCCTGCCCTCGCCAGACCATGTCCTAGGGCTTCCTGTCGGTAAGCGGGGCTTGGCATCATCACTGGGACTGGGGCCTTGTACAGCTGTGCGTTCTGCTTGGTCACAAACACAGCTGAGGTATGAAGGTGGTCCTGAGGGCTTCCAGAGCCGTGAGAGCCCAGGGCTATCATCCTTTCTCATTGTTCAATTTGGGCTGACACAAAAACGGTATCTCAGTGAACATTGAAAAGAAGTGAATTTAGAGTCAGAGGTCTGAAGTCAGCACAGGCTACTTGCTGAACAATCTCAGGCAAGTCCCTCAACTTCTCTGCGATTGTCTCTGAAATGGGGTTTAGTTCTGCCTGAAACTTGGGTTGTCTTGAGGATAAAGTGATTAATGAATGCAGGGATTGCAGACCTACAAAGAGTATCAGCCATAGCAGTCCTGGAATTCTCAGTTACCCTGTTTCTGTAACACCACCTGACAGTTGTTCAGTCTGAAGTGGAAAACCTCTGCTAAGCCCAAACTTAGGGATCCAGAGCTTTGTACAAGCTGTTTGTTTGGCCCTCCTCCCATGACCCCTGTGGCGCTCTGCACCCCAAATCTCTGTCCTTTATGGGAATCCTGGGACCCGTTACACTGCCCTTGCTCAGACCTAACATTTCATGCCTTTTCTGTAGGTAACTACGTCCGTCTCTTGGCCACAATTAATGATACTTTGGTCATCAGGGCTTACACACCTGTGTCCAGTGATAATGACCGAGGTTTTGTGGACTTAATTATAAAGGTACATAATCCCTACCATGCTTAGCTACCTGACCCACACCAGCCTGACATGGCTTTCTGGCAGCATGACTTCACTGTTAATCTGCTGGGGTTGCCAGAGGCTGCTGACAGCAGCTGTGAGTGTAGAGGATTTTCTCCATGTGGTTTCCAGCAGCAGATGCATTTTTGAGTTGTGTGCACCATCAGGTCTGATGGTGTAGAAATCAAGCTGCCTTGTTTTTCAGATCTACTTCAAAAATGTACACCCCAAATATCCAGAAGGGGGGAAGATGTCTCAGTACTTGGACAACATGAAAATTGGGGACACCATCCTTTTTCAAGGGCCAGTTGGGCGCCTGTTATATCATGAACCAGGTATTGGGGGGTTCATAGTGGGCCTCCACGAGGAGGAAGATTTCTGCAGTAGTCCCATTGCTCTAGAAAACGCCAAGGATTTGAGTTACATGGACTTATCCTTAAAGTGCTCATACATTCATACACACATCCAGTTCCAAAGATTTGGGGAATGATTTGGTTCTTCTTTATCTTTGTATCTCCATCACAATGTCTGACACTTAAAAGGTGCCCCTATGCTGAAGAATGGATGTATGGGTGCAGCTCCCACTCATTGATGAATTTACTCTTTCACTGTGGTGGGTGAAAGTGAGCTGTGAGGCTCTGTATTAGCTTCTGTGTCTTCCTTTTTCTTCAAGAAAATGTCCAGAGATTTCCTGAGGAGGTACAGGCTCAATTCCCACTTTGTGCAACATGGCTGGCCCAGGAAGCCATCCTAGCCTGCTCTGTGTCTTAAAAAGGCATAACCTCATCCTCAGATTGACTGGCCTCCTGAGGCCTCTAGGGAAAGTTGGGTATCTTCCACAGGCTCTCAGACAAAACCTGCAGAAGCCACAAGTACCCTCTGTTTCAGGGAAGTTGTCAATCAAGCCAAACAAAATGAGTCAGCCGGAAATCAAATTGGTCAAACACTTGGGAATGATCGCCGGGGGCACAGGTAAGAGGGATAAGGTGTGCCCGGAGACCTTTTTGACTTTAGAGGCATTTGCTCCCAGAAGGGCTAATGTGAGCTTCCTCCCCTGACTGTTTTAGATGGGAATACAGGTCAGTGATGGGCCTTAAAGCCAACCCTATTCTCCCTGTTCCCCCTGACCAATATGGTAGCTACGCCAGGAGCCACTGAAAGCCTCTAAAGTCAGGCTGGGGTACAGAGAAGAGTCCGTCCAGGCTGGGCAGACCTATACATGGCCCCCCAAGGGCTCCTAGATTTACTTCAAACCTGACTCCCCCCAATTAAACACCTAAACAAAGGGAACAAACATGTAAGAACACCTGCAATGAGCCTGGAACCATAATCAGCACTTTTTGAAAAACTATCTTTGTCATTAATTCCGCTTTGTAATAAGGACCCTGCAGAGCTCAGACTTGTCCTTGACTCCCTGGTCACACTTTAGTTAGTGAGGGAACTGTGTGTGCAACACGTTCCAGTTCCACAACCAATTCTTTCATCTTGCCATATGAAGGGTTTTTGATTTATTGTTGCATTAGGAGGGAAAAACAAAATGAAGGGCAGTTTCCCACTTTCATTTTGGGGTACAGAAGTAAGAAAGTAGTCAGGGCCAAGGGGCGCTGTTAAGCTATTCCAGACCAGGGACAGTGGGCATCGGAGGAGCCAGCCCATGCTAACTGCTGATTGTGTTCCAGGCATCACACCTATGCTGCAGCTCATTCGCCACATCACCAGGAACCCCCGTGATAGCACTAAGATGTCCCTCATCTTTGCTAACCAGGTCAGTGCTGCAGAGCCATCCTGAGGCTGATGGAATGCATCTGAGTAGCTCTGCATTCAGGCTTCCCTGGCTGAGCTGGCTGCTGGGGGCCTGTGGCTGTGGGAGGCTGAGGGCTCAGCTGGGTTGCTGGTGGCCAGAGACTTGAGTCCAGGTCTGTGTCCCCACTTTTTTTTGAAACTTACGCACCAAGCTTAACACACAGTTCTATGTTTTCCTAAGTATAAAATCATAGAATAGCAGCCCTCAGTGGAAATCTCAGAAAGTACAGAAGCATATAAATATTTGAGTTATGTTTGACTTATGCTTTGTCTGTTTTCTATACATGCTGTATATTTACATTTACCTATATTTTGTTGTGTGTTTTCACTCAACATTACCACATAGGCATTTCCTTCTCATTAAAACATCTTATAAATCCTTCTCATTAAAACTGTTTTCATCATTGTCTATATCAAGTTGCACCATAATCTACTAAATCTTAAATGCACATATTTTAGTTTTCACAGTTATAAATGATAAAGTGATGAAAAACTGCAGAGGCTTGCTCACTTTCAGATCATTTTCTTAAATAGAATCCCAGAAGTGGAATTAAGAATCATGACGTGTTTTGAAATCCAGGTCTTCTCTGTAGTATCTTTCAGCCTGTAACACATTTCTTCTGGATTGGCACCTTTCTCCAAATGAGTTTCCAGTGTTTATTTTCCTCTCCTTTAGCTCCCCACAGCTGTCAGTGTTATGTCACCTTCCCTGCAGGAGATCCTGGGCCTGCATTGAGCTCTTCCAGTGGGCTTATGGGGCTGGGGCGGCTGTGAGAGTGAATCACCTCTGAGTGAATCACCTGCTGTGCACAGTCCTGACCTGCCAGTGGAGGGCAGTTGCCATAGCTCTGAGGGAGTCTCCCTAGTCCTTCCCTAGGAAAGAGAGAGTGTTGTGGAGAAGTGGCTGAGGAACTTTCTCTTTGACCCTGAGTCTTCAGCAACAGCACTAAAGTGAGGGCCTCCCCTGGTGGCACAGTGGTTGAGCGCAAGCTGCCCGCAGCCTCTGCAGCACCAGTAGATCCCCGGCCCCCAGCAAGGATCCCACATGGTGCACAGACCTCTCCTGCCGCCCGCTGCTCCCCTCAGCAGTGTGCTTCGGTCCTTCTGCCTGTTCTGCTCCCCGCTCTGGCTCTGGTGAATTCTCTAACCCTCCTGCGCTTCTGACTGTACCCAGTGCTTGTATAACTAAATAACTAACTAACTAACTAAATAAATAAATAAATAAATAAATATATTTTTTTTTTAAAAAAGAGAATTAAAGTGAGAGCTGTGGTGAGAGCCTTGGTGGCTTGGCCAGAAATGTCCTGACCCTGGTGCTCAGTCTGGGGAGTAGCACACCCCTGGAGGGGCTCTGCTCCTGTTGCTTCTTTTCTAGACAGAGGAGGATATCTTGGTGAGAAAAGAACTTGAAGAAGTTTCCAGAACTCACCCACACCAGTTCAGACTGTGGTACACCCTGGACAGGCCTCCTGCTGGTATGCACACCATTGCGATGACCCCCCACCCACACTGTGCGTCAGCTCTAGCCCCTGACCCTCCTAAGGGACTAGTCCCTGGGTTGGTTGGTTGGCTTTTAGGCCTGGGCTTGGGACTGAGGCTTTGGCTCTGTTTCCATATTGGAAATGAGGGGCTATGAGAGAGAAGGGATTTGGGGTGACCTGCTTATAAGGAAAGTCAAGGGCAAGTGTCTGATATCTCCAGAGCACTCCATACCACACTGAACATCCGGAGGGGCAGGGATACTGAGAGTCTGGGTTACCCTAAACACACGCCACACACTATACAGGGCATCCCTGTAGAGCCCTCTGACACACTGCATCTGTACAGCCACTGGCCTCTTCACCCCCCACCTCACCTGAACAGCAGACCTCCTGTACTGGACCCCAGCCAGCATCCAGCCACCCTGTGCACACCTACCCTAGGAGCTCACCATCCCCTTATGCTGCCTCTTCCCCTGAGGTGCTTAGCTGCCTTGTCACATAGCCCACTGCCCAGCAGAGGGCGCTGCTGGCCAAGCCACTCCCAAGCCTCAAGGCACAGAGTACTGCTGCAGCAACTGCCTTAATCCACACATCTCAGGAACCCCCACCTTGCTGTCAACTTCTCCACTTCACCAGGGCTTACAGCCAGCAGGCAACAACCAGGGTCATCACACTCCCAACAGTGAGCCTGTGATCGGGGATAAATACTAAAGGGTCCTCCACATCCTCTACTTCCTGGCTTTTTGCAGAAAAACAATATTGCAGACATCTCAACCTGCAGAAAGCCTTGCCTCCCTCTCCCTGGCCTTATGGAGGGAGGGCTGGGGGTCAGAGGTCAGGGGCTCTAACTAGTACCCTCACAGTTCTTTTTTCCCTCAGACTGGAGTTACAGCTCTGGTTTCATTACCACCAACATGATCAAGGAGCACCTCCCTCCTCCTGAGAAGTCCACACTCATCCTGGTGTGCGGCCCGCCACCCATGATCCACACCGCCGCCCACCCGAGCCTGCAGAACCTGGGCTATACCAAGGACATGATTTTCACCTATTAACACTCCTCCTGCTTCCAGCAAATTTGCTTGGCCCCCTTCATCTGTTCCAAAGTGAGTTCAACTTGACCGTTAAACTGGAAGTGTGTTCAAAAGTGCCATGTAAGGCACCCTCGGGTTGCCGGCAGGCCTCTATTTTGTGTGTGAACCTAAGAAGAAGAGTTTGAGAAGTTGGAGACAAAGTGGCTTCCAAGGCCCCTTGGTTTGAGGAGGCTTGGAGGAAACCATTTCATGTCTTTTTCCCCATAGTTTAATGAAATAAACCAGTACAAAGCAGATAACCCATGAGGTGTGGCTCTGTGGGGAACCCACGAGGCAGATAGAAGGCCTTAGCCTGCCCTACATATGAGTTGGCTTGTGTGTGTCCAGTCAGAAGTGGCAGAAGTGCCAAGGAAGAATTCCAGAAGAATCTTTGCAGTGCCATGTCAGCTCCCAGTAATCCCCAGACATAGTGGGAGACTCAGAGACTCTCCATGTACACCCTTCTCTTGGGGGAGGCCCTTCAAATGGGAATATTTTTAAAAACACATCAGGGCAGTAAATCCACAGGGTAGGTGGATCCCAGCAATCCTACACAAGAACAAATGAAGGCAAAAAACACTTATTTTAAGCATCCTTTAAATGCCATGGCCAGCTCTGGTGTCTCAGGGTAAGAGTGACTACATACAGCAACTTCGGAACTTGGGAACAAACTTAGATCCAGAGGCTCCTCCTTAAATCCTTTACATCACTGAGCCCAAAGGACCCAAGTGACCACTGATGCTGTCCGTGGCCCGGAGGGTGTGCCGCTGCGTGGGTGTGAGCCGGCAGACCAGCTTCTGCGCTTCAAGTGCTCTGTTTCTCATAAAAAGCCAGAGATTCTCTGGGGAGTCTATTCTTATCACAGATGAGGAACAGGCTCAGATGGAAGTTGTACCCAGTCGTTCAGCCAAATAGATGGTAGAGCTGGGCTTCTGGCCTTGGTCTGTTTAATTCCAAGATGTATTAAAAACGGGTACAATAGCAGCCTTGTAGGACTCGAGTTCTTAGTAGTGGACACTGCTCAGCTGTGTGTATATGTGAGGGAGGAGAGAGAGGAGCTGGGCTCCAGGACAGTGAACATGGCTCAGTTCTAGAGTGCGCAAGTGCAACTGTGGAGTACCCACAGGGTGGCCTGACGGTGGTCTCACAGAGGGCCACTGAGGGGGGCGTAGGGGAGGCAGCACATGCACATCCACACACAAAGGGCGTCCTCTGAATGCCTTCCTCACAGGAAGGCACTCGCTGGGCACTACCCTGAATAAGCTCCCACCGATATGTTTCTTAAATGCAAATCTTACAGTGCTTGTCCCCTGCTTTAAAACCCACTGCTCTGGGCCTCCCTGGTGGCGGTGGCGCAGCAGGTTGAGTGCCATGCTGTGAAGCTGTCTGCAGCCTCAGCAGAGCAGGTTCAATTCCTGGCTGGCCAGGGAGAAACCCATGTGGTGTGGCAGACCTCTCCTGCCTCGCCTGCTGCTCCCCTCAGCACTGTCTTCGGTCCGTCTGCCCGTTCTGCTGCCCGCTCTCTCTGGTGAGTTCTCTCACCCTCCCGTGCCTCTGACCTGTACCCCAGTTCTTATATAAATAAATCTTTAAGAAAAACAACAAAAACCCCACTGCTCTCACTAGCCCCCACCCGGCCACCCTGTCTCCAGGATAAATTCCAGAGACCTTTCTTGATTTGGATCCCCAGATTTTCCTTCCCTGGGCTGCCTTCTCTGGCCCCATTCTCTGCCCCAGTGGTTCCTCTCTGGAGGCGATTTTGCCCCTTAGGGAACACCTGAACGGACCTGAGACATTTTTGGTTGTTACCAGAGGAGGAGCGCTACTGGGGTCCAGAGGGCAGAGGCGGGGGACACTGCTCGGCACCCCACAGCACAGAGCACAGCCCTTCACGGTGACTGTTCGGTCTCAGAAGACAACAGTGCGGGGGGGTGGGGGGGTGGAGGTGGGGGAGGGAGGCAGGGAAACTGCTCTTGTCTGACCAACTTTGACACTTCTTGGGATGTGTGGGGCTGCTCAAGTCCATCTGCCTGGCATAACCAATTCAGTTCTCAGAATTAAGTATCACCTGTGAGTTTTTTCAGTTCCTGCCCATAGCCCGCCACTGTAAACAACCACTTGCTCCTTTGGGCTGTGGAGATTTCTACTGGAGCATCTGTAACGCTGAGCACACTCTTTTTTGGGGGAGATCTGTCCTCCCCCACTGGACTGTCTGCACCCTCCGCCCAGGGGCTTGCTGTGTCTCTAGCTCTCCTTTGCCCAGCACGGAAGGCACTTACCATGAACACATCAAGGAGCCGGTGGACGGGCTTAGGGGTATGGATCTCCTGAGCAGTGTGGAGACCAGGATAGGGTCTGCTGCTCTCTGTATAGGCAGCAGCCCACAGCAGGCACTTGGAGTTTGGTGAGGGAAAAAGCAATGTCACTTCAGGGTGAGCTGGGCAGTGCTCGTGCTCAAGGGCAGGCAGCACTGTGGGACCCAGGACCTTCAACCCAGATCCCAGCCCTCTAAGTTGGGCCCAACAGGCAGGATTTGGCCTTGTGAAGGGGATTAGGAGAAAAATACCCAAATAGGGGAAAGGCTAGGCCTGGCTATAGGGCAGGTTCATGAAAGCTGGATATTGAAAAGGAACTTGCATGTAAACGATGGCATAAAGATTTGAACTCCAATCTGGTGATTTTGGAACTAAGGAGTTCTTAGCAGAAGGGTCAATATGGTTAAAATAGTGTTTTAGGACAGTCGTGCTGGGGCTGGGGTAGCAAATATATGGAGGGAAACAACCGGAAAGGCGAGGGACATGGTAGACCAACTGAGGAAATGCAATGAGAGGTGAGGCCTGAACCAGAGCCTCAGGAAAGGAGAGGAAGGGGCAGGTACTAAGGGGGAAGGCTGATGGGGAGGGCGAATGTATGGCTGGAGTTTGGGGGTGCCTCTTCCAGGAGGGGAGAGAACAAGCTTGCTGGGAAGACAAGAGTTGGCGTGGAAATGTTGATTTGTGGTGTCCACTGGGGGGCGCTATTTGATCAGCCAATTGAGCTGAAGCTGCCGCGTGAACAATTTGGAGACTGCTCAGGGTGTGGGCTCTGGTGAAGGCGAAGCCGCATGGGTGCTGGAGAGCCTGTGCTCAGGGGCTGGGTGTCCAGGTGAAAACATTGACCCCAATGTTTTCACATTGACCCCAATGTTTTCACCCGAAATACCCTCACCCTGGCTAGTCCTGTGAATGGAAATGCAAAAGGAGGCCAGGAAGGGGCTCCCTATTATCATGTCCCCCAGCTCTTCACCAAAGAACACTCAGAACAGTTTTCAGAACTTTTTTCCCACAGAGCATTTATGAATGCAGAGCCCTTCTCCTTTGGTGTAAGATTCTTCCAGCTGTCCCCAGGAATAGCCTGAGCCATCAGGTTGTGCTGGTATCTCATTTGTCCCCCCACAAAAGTGCTCTGATGTCCACGTATAAAAGTACAAAAGGTATAAAAGGTGCAGTGAAGAGCATGGCCTGGTGGAAACGCAGGGACGCTGGGGCCACCTCCTGGATGTCTGTCCCACAACTCTGCTCCACTCCTTTTGGCGCCCATGTTGGAGATGCCCCGCCAGCCTCCGCGGCTGGACTTCATGGGAGGCTGTGTGCCAGCTCCCCACTGAAGCAGACACTCGGGGGCGCCACACACACCTCTCTGGGCTCTCAGCCATGAAGAAGTTCACCTCCAGTCCTCAGAGTTGGGAGCGGCCAGGCAAGAGTTGTTCAGCAGCTGGTCCTGGCTCAGCATTGTCTGAAAGGACAGCCGAGGGGGCAGCTGAACAGGGCTCTAGTCAAGACTGTCCTGCAGCGGCTGCACAGGAGGCAGCGGGCACTAGGGCTGGTTCTGGCTGACACTGGTGCCCTGTGAGTATTTGGTGTCTCAGGACCCCATGTACGAGGTTGGAATAAAGAGCACTATCAAGATAAAAATAAGTTGCTTGTACCTTAGAGCTTGAAGTTGATATTCAAGGACACTAAAGGCCTATTATAGCTGATAAAGTAAGATTGAATGGATTCATTTCAATGTGTGAGACAAAAAAAAATGAAAATTGAATGAAAGTGATCTTGTTTGGATTCAGGGAGACTTGTGCTTGGATATACAGCCATCTTCCTGTGCCCCAGTAAGTCAACAAGCAAAGGACAATGACATGGGGCCTTTCTATGGGCAGACACTATAGCCAGTGAGCCCAGGAGCAAAAAGGAACAAGGCCTCACTTTCCCTGCCAGCTCTGGTGAGCAGTGAGTCTTGCAGGGATATAAGCTCTGCTCTGCAGACACTGAGCAAGCCTCAGGAAGAATGGCTGGCCTGAGACCCCCTGCTAGGAAGAGGCAGAACTAGGACTTGAATCAGACCAGCCTCACTCCAGGGCAGCCCCTCCTTTCCCTGCCTCCCATGGAGACCAAGCTGTCCTCCTCCCTCTGCCTCCCCCACCCTCCCGAGATCAATTTGTCCTCACTGGATGTGTCAGGATGCACTTGCATGCCTATGACAGCCACGGAATCGGGGCATAATGGGAAATACATATGTCTCATGGGCAGAATAGGGTCCACTGGGCCAGAATGAGGCCTGGGTTTTGCGCTAAATAGGCAGGTGACCCAGAGCTGTGGGCATCTGGGTCTCCTCACCAGCTCCTAGACTGGGAAGAGCATCTGAGACCCAGAGTACTTTAGCTGGTCCAGCAATAGCCAAGAGAGAAAGGCCTCTGGGCTACTTTGTGGCTCAGGGTCAGCTCAAGATCTGGCCCCAGCATCCAGCACTGGGTAGCATCCTTTGGTATCCCCCAGAGACCCAGGTTCTGGGTTTGAAACAGGGGTTGCCCCAGGCCTTGAGCAGCATTAACCCAAGTTCACAGGGCCTCTCCTTCCCGTCTGACTATGGAGCAAGGGTCAACGTCCTACCGTGAGGCGGTGAATGTCTTGGGAGAGGAGCCCTATCTGCGTCACAGTGCCTTCCGAGGGTGCCATCTGTAAAATGGGCAGCAACCCAGTCAGCATACAAGGCTCTTGACTTGCTCTGGTGGCATGCAAGTCCTGTCCTGCTCAGGCACGCTCTCCCAGGGGGAACAGGCAAGGGGTGGGCCAGGCCCTGGGGTGACAGATGAACAGAGAACATGCTGCTTCTGTCCCAGAGCAGAGGCAGGGCCCAGTGTCTCATGCTGCCATGCACACTCTCCTGGGCCCAGCACCAGCAGCACAGCAGTAGGCCAGACAGGTCTGTCAGAAGCAGCCCTCTAGCACATGGTCACTGCTCCAGCTTCTTCCAGGAACAGAGCAGCAGCAATGAAAGCCTTCAGGATGCTAAGCACACTGACAATTTCTGGGACCAATAGGTCCCCAGGCACTGGTGCCTGGGTATAGGTACAAGCAGGCATCTGGACATCCTCAAGGAGCTGCTAGTGGAGCATCCTCACTTCCAGGACCTCCCTCTCCTCCTCCGCTAATACTGATCCATCCCTCCTCCCTAAGCCTATTTAGCCAATGTACATTGGAAAGGATCCTCTGAGCACATCAAATAAACGCTTCATTTACAGGTGATAAAATTGGGCCCACAGGGCTTCCCCAGTGGCGCAGTGGTTGAGCGCTGGGTTGTGAAGCTGCCCGCAGCCTCTGCAGCGCCGGTTCGATCCCCAGCCACCGGGCGAGGGTCCCACATGGCGCGCAGACCTCTCCTGCCACCCACTGCTCCCCTCAGCAGTGTACTTCGTCAGTCTGCCTGTTCTGCTCCCCGCTCTGGCTCTGGTGAATTCTCTCACCCTCCCGTGCTTCTGACTGTACTCAGTGCTTGTATAAACAAACAAACAAACAAACAAACAAACAAATAAACACATAAATTAAATCTTTAAAAAAAAAATTGGGCCCACAGAACAACAGAGGTCTTGCTTGAGGCTGTGCAGGAAATTAGTGACATAACTCCATGCAGGTTTGAAAATAGGGACATGCACAGTTTGTCACCAGGATGCAATAGAAACAAGGACGAAGCCTGCACTGTAACCCCACACAAGCACTGCCCAGTGTCAGCCTGAGGACATCTGCCCTGCCATTCAGTGGTCCTGGATCCTGGCATCAGAGGCCAGCTGGCCGGCTTGTCAATCTCTCTCTGAGTGACCTTCAGGAGGGGCCATGCCCTGAGATTACAGGCTGTGCCTGAGGCTCTGGGTAGTCTAAGGAGCAAATCTTCTCTGATTCTCTGTCCAGGACAGAATCAGTTTCCTTAGTGAGGTGTCAGGCCCTGCCCTATCTGCCAGACAGTTATGCTGCTGTTAAGAGACCCAGGGGACCCAGTGGAGCCAAAAGCTACCCTGGGGCAAAGTGGAATCTCAAGAGCAGGCGCCCAGTCTGGCAAGGGGCGTCTCTCCCTCAGTCCTCACCAGACAGAGCCCATCTGGAAAATCCATTATCAGTTATTCAGCCCCCAGACCAGAGGGCAGGTCTACTCTGGTTCTGCCGGCACAGACAGACCAGCCCCACAGTGGTTTGTAGACCCCACAGCTGCCTCAGTAAAAGGGAAGCTGGCAAGACCCATGAAAGGACAGAGGGGCCTTCCAGCGAAGCCATCTTCTGTCACCACCCCCTTCACTAGATGACTGGTGCCACTGAATGGAGACCCACTCTGGGGCCCCCCAACATGGCCTACAGTCAGGAAGTGTGTGACCATGGGGTTCCCCCGAGCTTCACAGAGAGAGAAGGAACCTGAAGCTTGGCAAGGCCAGAGACCTCCTCTGAAGGAGACCCCCCCCCCCACTTTGCCTCATGCCCCTCATTCACAACCCTTGGCAAATCCTGAGAGCTAGTGTGATGCCTTTGGCTCTCAAGCTGCACAGTGAGCAGAACTCCATCTCCAGATGTGCCCGCTCTGTTCTTCCACCAGTTCAAAGATATGCTGCACTGTTCATTTTCTATATAAATATTGATTTTATTGCAAGAAGCAGCTGCCTCTGTAGTAAGGCATGACACATTACGTTGTCTCTTTGGCAGAGATCCCTGCTGTGTCCCTTCGATCTCAACCTAGACTCTGGCCACAGGCCTAAATCACTTGAGATTTCCCCTCAACTGAGGTGCAATAGAGGAAGCTGAGAGCTGAGCCTCTTGGGATTGTCCATGGTCTCTTGTGTCCGAGTTCATGTGTTTCCTCTTGGGCCGAAGATGGACACGAAGAAACACTTAAAAGGTACAAGCGTCTTTAAGTGTCTTTCCTCCTGAGCCCACACTTGGCAACAGCCCCAAACCCTGGTTTCTTAGCAAAGGGATAATTCCACACCTCAGCCACCCTCAGGCTTTGAAGAGAGAAGGGGTACACAGTTGCCAGGGTGTGTTCTGCGAGGCATGCACGTGTGCAGGAGTGAGATGCGGTTATGTGGTGACACACACAGCGTTACTGAGCCTCTCGGTGCACAGAAAGGGTAGGTGACAAGGGCATCAGCTTATCTGTCCCACCTGGTCCAGCCCATCCAGTTCAGGGGTGTCAAGGGGGCTGAGGCCCCGGTAGCCACTATAGACCCTGTGACTGTCACTGGCACTGTCACTGGACTCCATTGGGCAAATGTAGTCAGTCGATTCATCGAACTTCTTTTTCCTTATGTTTCCAAAATGTGAAAATCCTAGTTTCCTTGGCTAAAACACAGAAAATGCAAGATTATGAGGAGATCATCAAACCGCTGTGCAGATATAACTGATGATACATTTAAAGGCAGGTCCAGGAGCAAAGGAATAAGGCAACTGCTCCGAGAAAAACTCTTAACAAAACAGAGCTCCTGGAAGCAGTTTTTATGCGGGAGGAAGGCATGACAGATAAATAATCTAGAATTAGGAGAGCTGCTTCTCCTAGACTGCTGACACTCACGCCCTGCTGCCCCAGTGGAGATGTTCTTATTTCCTGGTGGTTCTGGGACTTCCTAGAAGATAGCATCATGGAGGACCTGCCTTGCCATGGCTGCTGGCCCCACACAGGGATGTATGCCCCACCTCGTGCCCCCGGGAAGCCACACTGACAGCCCTTAGTGGCCTTCCTCCTTGCTCCAGCTCCGCATAGCACCATGGCTGCTTGTCCCCCTGCCCCCACATACATCCTGCCTGGAGGAGGTCTGTGTGCGATGTGTGACTGGTATCACCACGTTGCAGGGCACAGGGCCAGCCTAGGCCCCAGATATTCTGCAAGTGGGCCCGCAATCCGTGCAGGACGTGTTCTGAGGACAGTGTAGAGTTCAGGCAGGTCAAATGGTCTTTGTGGGACTCAGAGCCATGGAGCTGCTGCTTGGATGACTTGGGACGTCTGGATGGCTGAGTGCTGGCCACCTCCACAGCACAAAGCAAACTGAGCACTTCCTGGGTCAGGCCAGCTTGGCCCAAGACCCCACGGCACTGTGCAGACAGACCCAACTCAAGGGAACCCAGACTCGGGACCCTGGCTTTGCAAGATGAGTCAAGGCAGTGTTGGGTAGAGGATGAGCTCCTGGCTGCCTGCACATAGTTTTCATGTAAAGAAACCTGGACACTCTTCCTTGACAGGCCAGAAACTGACCTAATACAGACTGACAGACAGTGAGACCAAATTCCCAAGGCAAAAGCCTAAAGGGCCTCCTTGCCCAGGTGCTGACACTGGCCTGGCTCCAGGCTTGTGGCCTGTTGCTGGCCAATGTGAGGGCAAGAAGGCAGGGCCCTGTGGCTTCCCCAGAAAGGGGCTGGCAACTCACCCGGACTTTGGCAGTGGTAGTCAGTGGTGTGTAAGCCGGGGAGGACATCTTCTCTCGTTTTTCTTGCTCAGCCTCAGGGCCAATGAGGGCATTGAATTTGGTGGTTAGGTGACGTCTGAGGAGTGTCTTTTGTGGTGGGATGTTGAGAAGCATAGCCAGGGTGTCCCCGGTGAAGCGTGGCTCCAGGATCTAAGAAGAAATCACAGACAAAGTCAATGGTGATGAGAATGGTTCATCTCCCTTGGGAGATGAACCCAAGGGACTAGGATCAAAGCTCTAGGGCAGGGGCTGAAGCTTACCCGCAGGTCTGCTCTGACAGACACTAGCCCTTTGTTTACTGACCACCTCATTTTTACAGAGCAGCAGAGAACTATGGCCCCTGGGATAAGGCTCCTTCCCAGGGTCTGCTCTGAACAATGTCCCAGACACCCATTCTTCATTTCCCTCCTGAATTTGCCCCCTGACAGATCTGAGTGCAGATGGAAAGTGTGGTGTGGCAAGCAGGAAGTCACGTTCTTGCGGCTGCCCCTTCGTTTCCTCAGCCCCTGTGTCCTAGGAGGAGGTGGAGCTGTCCTTGTTAAAGGCCAATTCTCAGACAATCCCTTTGTCCTGGAATTCTCTAGATCTGCTGCTAGAGATGTCCTTCCAGAAGTCATCTTGTCCCCATGAGGCATATTAATTCTCAACCCCAAATTATCAAATACTTTCTTTGAAACTTCAATCTATACAAGGATTTCAGATGAGATATCAATGTTTATTCTTACTGGGATCTATGTCTAGACCTTAAAAAATCCGTTTCTGATAGCCCAGTTTCCACTGAAACAGGGGGTTTATCCAAAGAGCCACTCACAATAAGCCCTCCATGGACGCCACTCCCACGAAGGTTGGGTGCGTACTCCGCCAGGTCCACAGACCGCAACCACTCCATCACCCTGTGGTTGGACCACTGCACGACTTCTGAAGGGGAAAGGTTGCTCTGTGCAAGGGAAAAGAGAGTGAAAAAGTGAGCTCTGATAGGTCCCACCACAGTTCTCTATATATAAGCTGGTCACAGATGCCTCACACGAAGACCCTCACGCCTAGTGGCCCAGGCTATCAGACCAGCTGCCTAAGAACTTTCCTGGTTTCTAAGAAATAGCACTCTCAGGGATTCTTGCAGGCTCTTCCACACTGAGATACCTGATCCCAGAATCCTGTTGATTCCTAAACGTCCAGTTAACTTTGGGACTAATAAACGATGGTATCCATTCGATGATTAAACACTGAAAACAACAATGACTCTACTTTGAGAGGTCCATCAATTACAAGGCAAGTGTTTTATAAAAGTGCTCCCCAGTGTGGCCAAATGTTTTAGGAGAGCACACATAAAGATATGTGTATGGTAGGGCCATCGGTGGAACAGTGTGAGCACAGCTGCCTTCCAAGATGCGCATACTTGAGTGTCTGCAGAGGGGTTCGGGGTCTTCAACATGCCCAGCACTGTGCCTGATAGAAGGAATTCAAAGTATAGTTGTGAAGGAGAAAAAACAAGAGATGGGAGGTAGAGGTGGGTGTTTTCTATGCCCTTGAAAGCTGGGTTAATCTTACAGCAGGATTTGCCTAGGTCCCCAGGAATGTGGGAGCAAGGAACATGACAATGCTTTGGCACCTACCAAAAACTCCAAGGTTCATGGAATATCATCAGGGACTTTTTAGGATTTGGAGGGTTACATTTATCTACACTATTTTTTCTCTAGCAAGGCCTTCCCACACATCCTCTGCGTACATGGGACTGGAGTTGGTTAATATAATATCTACAAGTAAGGCAATCTGTTCTGAAATACCCAATTCCTTATGGATTTCTCTCCTCTGCCTACTTGACACCCATCTTTCCATTTTGATTTCCCCTCCAACTCCTTTGCACCATCTCCTCACCTCCTTTAATCATTCTGATGGCTTTGATAGACTGCCCCAGTGTATGGCCACCCCACACTGGACACGCCCCGTCTCACCTGAAAAACTCTGCCCCACAGTGTGTGTGTCCCCAGGGGAGGTGGGAGCTTGGGGCCTAGTGGCTGTGGTGGGGCACAAAGAATAGACAACAGGACTGTTTGGGGTACCATGAAGCACGAGTGAAAAAGGAACCCCAAGCACCATGGTCCTAAAATCAGCATTTTATGATGATGCCATCTCATCTCCTCACTTGTGGCAGGGGTCCTGGCTCAGGGTACCAGGATTGGCCCTGACCTCTTACCTCATCAGCGGGCCGCCGGTGCAGGCAGTGGGGGTTGAACTTATTGACATGCAGCACATGAATGGCACATTTGATGCTGAGATGATGTAGCTGACTGGTGACTTTTAAGAAGAGTAGATCATTCTGGAAGAACAAAGTTTTGGTTGATGAACCAGTTTCTAAAGTAACAAAACAAAACAAAACAAAAATATCCTGGGGTTCCTTCCCAGACCAAAGTCAAGTCCACCACATCTCAGGAAGATGCATGCACGCACACCAGCAGCTTTTCTTAGCACAGAGGCTCATGCTCTGGTATCTGGAGTTTCTTAGGCAACAAATGATGCTTTAAGACCTTAAGAATATGAAGGGAATAGGTGGACCCACATTGAAAATAGCTACCCTAGTGATACCTGAGCAGAGTGCTCATAGGGGTGAGTGAGATATTGTTAGGAAGGACCCTCACCACAGTTAGGTATTGCAGCATTCGTCCATCAACTCTGGACTCGTGAAATTGGTCTTTGTATTGGGGTAAGCCAATGTCATCAAGCCAACCTGCAGAAACAGGAAGAAACAGGTGAGTTAGGGCTCATGAGAATGTGGATGCCAAAAAAAAAAAGGGCAGCAAATTATCATTCTTGAGTTCTAGTTGTATTCCCACATTGTTTAGTGGTCTGTCTGCCTTTTCCAAAGACACAGCTGTCTTAGAGACACACATTCACAGGGAAACTATCTCTCTGCAGGAGCTGCCAGAAACATAGAACATATATGCCTGTCCTTACGCGTCACCCAAATGTGGTCTAGCAGTGCAGACTTCTCCTCCTGCTTGGTGTTGATGGCTTTCACTGCTAAAACCAGCTTCTTCCTGTGAAGAGGATGCTTAATTCCCAGCTCCTGAAATGGAAAGATGAAGACAGAAGTGAAGTGCCCACAGGCACATAGGCTGTCGGAGGATGTGTTTGGGTGGAATGTGTCCGCTTCCATCCACCCTGCTGTGTGTGGGTGTGTGTGCTGGGGTGGGGGAGGTGCAGGAATGGAAGAGCTTGGCCTTGATTCGGGGACAAATGGGAAGCCCCTGACCCAGAGCTCAGCCCTTACCTTCTCCATGTCCTGAGGCGTAGCTGACAGCAAAGTGTGGCCTGAAGTCACCCACTGCCTGGCGAAGATCACGTACTGAGCCAGACCGAAGTCCTCCAACCATGTGCACACGCGCTCCGTGTTCCACTGGGCGAAGGGGGCGTTGGCGTCACTGGGAAGCAGGAAGACAGCAAGTCCCTCAGTGGGAGAGCCTGGGCACCATGTGACCCACAGGGCCTCATAAAAAAGGGACTGTTGCTTAGCACACAGCCCCAGTCGTGGGGTCCTGTTCTACTACAGCACACTCACTTGGGGTAGTTTCCTGTGATAAGGCCTGGTCTAAATTTCCAATCTGCACTACTAGATCCTGGGCTGTTACAAGATCCCCTCATGCTTCTACATGTGCTCTTGGCCCACACTCGTCACAAACCCAGAGCCCTGGTCCCGTAAGCAAGCAGGTCCACAGTATGGTCAGGTTTTCAACAGTATTCAATAGTGTTTTTAGAAAAACCCTTAGAAGGCGAAGACAATGGGGTCAATTCTCTAACATGGAACAACAACAAAAAACAAAAAACAACCCAAAATCTCTAAGCAATAATAGCTAATACTTTATTGATTAATGAAACACTAGGGGCATTCATGTTAAAGTCAGTTTTTGTCAGTACTATAATACTGATTTGAGAGTAGAGTTACAGGCAGCATAAGATGAGATAAAACAAAAATAAGTATCACTATTACAAAAATAGAAATAAATAAAAGCCATTCTTTTCAGATGGTATGACTGCCCATCTAGAAAACCCACGAGAATGTAGTTAGGTGGCTAGTTAAAAATCTCTCTCTCTAGGGCCTCCCCGGTGGCGCAGCGGTTGAGCGCTGGGTTGCGAAGCTGCCCGTGGCCTCTGCGGCGCCGGTTCGATCCCCGGCTGCTCCCCGGCCACCGGAGGAGGGTCCCACATGGCGCAGACCTCTCCTGCCGCCCGCTGCTCCCCTCAGCAGTGTACTTCACTTCTGCCTGCTCTGCTCCTCGCTCTGGCTCTGGTGAATTCTCTCACCCTCCCGCGCTTCTGACTGTGCCCAGTGCATGTATAAACAAACAGACAAATAGACAAACAAATAAATAAATAAATAATAAAACAAAAAAAAAAAAAAATCTCTCTCTCTAGCTCTCTCTCTCTCAAACACACACACACACACACACACATACAGAGTTTATAAGACACACAAACAAGTTTCTCTATACCATCAATGCACAGATGCTAACACATTGTTAAAGTAACTTAAAAATTCCACTGACGCAACCCAAATTATAAACTGCCTCTAAAAGGAGTGTGTGTCCCTGTGTGTGGGGTGGAGGGGAAACCAGGGGAGGTGGTAACTACAACACTCAACTACGCCACATAAAAGAAGACATGAATAAATGAAGAGCTAGAATCATGTTCCTAGACAGGGTGACCGGGGATTACAAAGCCATCAATTCTTAAGGACATCAATTTTTCATTTAAAGTGTAAATGTAATGGCACACTCAAAGTCCCAATAGAGTCGCTGGCGTAGAAGGAGGTTGACAAAGCAACTTTATATTCATTTTTAAAAATAAAGGGGGGTTTATGGAATATGGATGACTAGATATTACAATTTCTTCCAGGAAAGTACCTTAACATGCTGGTTAAAAACTTTTTTTGTTTTTTTGGATGGCTAGCTGAGTTGTTCTTAAAGTAGAGGGAATTCCTTAAAGGGTTGAAACAACATGAAAGCATCATTCTAGAACAAGTGATGGAGTACCCTAGTCACTCAGTGCTGATCACTGTAGCCTGAGGCTGGGTTGTAATAAGCAATGAATTGGTGCAGATCCAGGTTTTATGAGTGTTGGAACTTGTAAAATGTGGGGACTCTCTTTAAATACAAAATATTTTAATTCTGAAATTACCAAGGTGAATATTTATTTAGAATGAAGAAACAAAAAAATAACTTAATCAAATCAAAAAAATCTCAAAACCCTGGGAATTCTATTAATTCTTTGACACATCACCATACTACCTTTCAACCTTGCTATATATATATATATGATATATATATATCATATATATACTCTATACTCTTTGATTGCATCTTTATATGTCAACAACTCAATGTTTTCTATGAGAACAGAAGGCTGACTCAGTCTTGTAGCATGATTGATCAATATTTCTTTTATTTTAACTTTTTAAAGAAGTTTCAGCTTCACAATTTATAATAGGTATTGTCAAGAACATTGTTAGTGTTATTAAATTTAGGAAAAATCTCTATCAAGTGTCTTCTAGGTGCAAGCTATAAAATAACAGAGCATTCAAATTTTCTAGTGCTATGGCTAGTCTTACAAATCCTTCCAGCCGACAACATTACTTGATGTCCTCTGGCTGTTGCATATTATGAATGTTATGTTGTCTCTGTTGATGTCAGTCTGTCATGTAAGATCAGCAAGAACCTTTAATCTTCTCCAATGTGTTTATATGATTCAGCTTATATGAGCCATAATCTAGAAACCTAGTCACTATTTTTCTTCAGAATTTATCTTAGTCAATTATTGCGTTTAGTATGATTTGGAGTGTTTCTGTTGATGTGTTTTTCTTAATGTCAGGATGAGTTCTCTTCATTTCAATGCTCATTTTACCACTTTCATTTCACTTTCTATTATTGTTTTTCATTTCACATATTTTCTGGTTTGTGGAAATTGAGGAAAAACAAACATTCTGTCTATGAGAGGTATATTGCTGTGTTAGAGGAAAATAAGTGTTTTTGAGATCTTAACTGGAAAACCTCTCTGCGAGACCTTGTCACAACACCCTAGAGCTCTGGTGCTTATCTTCACCAGCTTTCCATCCCCTGTGGTGTAAGTGGCCTCCCCTCTCCTGAGCCCCCTCTGGTCACACAGCACCAGATCCAGCTTCTGCACCTGCTCAGGTACCCTCTTGCAAGGGTCTCCCGCGCTCTCATGCCAAGCCACAAGTGAACACAGAGAAAGTAATTTAGAGATGATAGAGCAGGCCCTTTTCATCTACAGCCATGCTGCTTGTCTTATTGACATATAAGATTTCCAAAGCAGGCTTAGTCACCTCGACATGTGGAGCAGCAGTCAGTGGAGCCCTGTGGGCTTCAGAGAAACTGTTACTACTGCCTCAGCTGCCCAGAAGGAAGATTACCTAGACTTAGGGTCGGGTCACCTCCAGAAATAGCCTTCTCGTGGGAGAAGCCCATCTGCAGAGCAGACACCGAGCTGCAGAGCATCTGATTGTGATGTAAGGAACCCCCTCTCCTGACATCCTATCCCACTACTAGCTGAACAACAAAAAACCTCAGTCTGCCCTGTTTACCTGGAAATTACAATCAAGGAAATTCTTCATCTGTACGTAATTAACTTTGGGGATTTTATTCTCTTCTACTAATCTATCTGATGTTCATTTGTTTGCTCAACCAGCTGAAGAATCCAGATGGGGTAAGGGAAGATTTCTCCTCCATCTTACCTTCTGAAACATGCTTCTAAAATACATTTAAATGGATAAGACTGAGATATATCAAACGCACCATTTCCATAGTGGAGGAGCATTTATAATTGTATGTGCTTCATTAGGATTTTGGAGATCTGAGTACAGGGAAGAATTTCCACAGGCTAGCTTCTGGTTTTGTGCTTTTAAACTGTTCTTTCTTTTCCACCACCCATTAACCATGAAGGCTATGCCTAAGTATCCATAAACTATAAACTCTGGAGGACACTAGCATATAATTATACCATTTTTTCCCCACCAACAAACTCAGTTTTTGTTACCAGGAGTGCTGTTGTGATAAATGCTACAACCCCATCATTGTCATTCTCATTTCCTTGTTGTGGTTAACAAGGCACAAAGACATTCAAACAAAGCAGCTGGAACAGCAGTTTTTTGACATCAGCAGAGAAAGTTCCTGAGCTGGGACCAGACCAGAATGACCAGCAGGATGTAATGGGTCCCCCCGATGTGGTCCTACTCTGAGGGACTTAGCAAAGTTCTTGCATGTGGACCTCTGATTCTTCTTCAGGAATCAATCTTATGGAAACAGCCAACATTGGAACAAAGCATTACCATTCAAGTTTACTGTAGCTCAGAAATATCCAGAACAATAAAATCTAAATTCAGAACACTGCTAAGTAACTCAGAAAACCCTTCACGTGCACTCTATGGCTAATTTCTTTTGTTCCCTAATGGCTCTGAATTGATCTCTTGCCTTCTCAGACCTGGTCCTTTGATTCTCTAGCCTCTAAAGCTAACATTTACTGGGCACTTAGGTCTGTGGTTAGCAGAGTGAGTGTGAACACCACCCTCTGTGGTCCTCAGGGCGGGGGGAGCAGGTACAGGAGGGCTACACACCCTCATGCTTCTTCTCAAGGTTCCTGGAGGACAGTGTGGGGATCCCCCATTGGAGTGTAGTAAATCTAAAGAGGGCCCCTGACTGGTACCCACCAGCTATTGGCGCAGCCTGAAAACTTGAGGTGTGTAGAAGGGGCGTTTTTATTCTTGTCCTCCCTGCATGGGATGCAGGTCTGTGCACAACCTGACACTTTAGAGAAACTTTCTTTTCCCTCCATGGCAAATCTAGACAGCATGGCTCCTGAAAACATTTGAGTCGTGCCCATCTTGCTCAGCAATTGCCCGACTTTGGCACTGAGGTGTGGCAATTTCAAGGGGATGAAATTTGAGAGTTAAATCTCACTTTTTACTGTTTAGTTAGATTTGACATGTCACAGTCCAAAGTCGTGGCAGGTCCCCAGAAGCCTGGTCGTGGCTGAGTTATCTTTAAAGACAACATGGAGACAACGTGTTGTAAGAGTGGTCTGAGGGAGTGAGGACATGGAGAGGGGAAATTCCCTAGAAAATAGGAGTAGAATTTTGTCTGAAGGGACACACACTTTCCCAGAGCAGAGGCATCTAAAGGAAAGGGGTGAAACTAGAGACTGGAGGGTAGACCCCAGGACAATCTCTTTTGGGTGAATCTTGCCATTTGAACTCCTTTGCAACCCTTTTCAGTTACCTCCCATTAGTAAGGTTTCATATAATGTTCCATGAGGGTAAGGGCAGATACAGCCAGCTCCACCACCGCCCTTCAGCGAAGGTCTGTTTGGAAGGGGGCGGCTGTCCAGGCAGATGAGACGATGCTCCTTCCCAAGTTTACTGAAGGAAGGTGACCCTTGAATGGTAAACAGCTGACGTGTGGGAGGGCTGTGCCAAGTTCATGTCATCCTCACAACAACTTTACTGAAATACTTGTTTTTGATCACCTGCTTCACAAATGAGGGAACTGAGGCACAGGAAGGATTAAGCCTCATCAGTAGGAGATACTTGAGCAGTTAATACCAACCTAGGTCTATGATTCCAGAATTTGTGTGCTTAATGGCTTTAGCTGAGCTTCTCAATCCAGTATGCAAAGACACTGCTGGGAGTGGATTACAGCTGTGCAAAACTGCTCAGGTTCTCAGGGCCTACCTTGCATTTACCTGGTATACCTATAAGCATGACCAATGTCTACTCGTGTCAAATGGGAAGGAATGAGCTCAGCTCCGGGGCTCCCATCTCGCATCTCTAGTGCTCTGGGACATGCAGCGCTGGTCTCACTCCACCCTGGCTGGGATTTCACACCATTCTCTGTAGATGGACTGGCAACAGCCTTACCATTTTGGAGCCTTGGGGTCTCTGGTCCTAGAAAGTCTTGGCCCTGCAGTGGCCCGGAGCCCACCTCGTCGAAACTCCGCGATCCCTGGTGCATCAGTGTTGAAGTTTCCTGACTGAGTTCTCCGGATCCTGTGTGGAGAGGCACCCACAGAGAGTGTTAGGGTGCAGTCTGCAAGGATGGGGTCAGCACACCTGCTCCTTTGCAGAAACAGCCAGACCCAGGACCCTGGATGATGCTGTGTGCCAACTTCCCAGGTCAAGCATCATGACCTGAGACAGGATCTTGGTCAAACCCAAGTCTCAATTCTAATCCTGCCGCTGGGACTTGGGCCACTTCATAAACAAGTAAAGGTTGATGCTTGGTAGGGACCCCAGTTTCTGTCTCATTTTTCAGACTAGGTCAGCTGGGCCAACTAGTACTCAACATTCTGTCTTCAGAGGTTGAAGACATAGAATGACCTCTAGGAAGAATTTGATGTTGTCCATGTGCCTCTCCCAGAGCATGTGTGGTGTGAGCTGCATATGGATGGACACCTGCAATGAATGACATGCAGGGCGACTGGCCATATTTACTGAGTGCCTTTTGCAGTTCTTCTTGGGGCCCTAAAATATAAGCCAGTCTTCTCTCTATCCACGACCACTTCGTTTTCACTACAGTTCTAGCATGTGATATAAAAGGGAAGTGCAGCTGCTTTATCCAGGAAAGATATACATTAATTTTAAGAAGTATGATTATGATTATCACCATCAACTTACTTTCCCCAAAATTTCTTGATGCCTTTGGGGCTCCGTTTCCCATCTGGTGTCAGGGGAGACTGGGGACCCGACTCAGTGCCAGATGACGTGGATGAGAAGTCATTGGCCACAGCGGTGTCCTCCCAACCACTCTCCGTGTCTCCTGAAAGAATAAAGTGATATGTGGATGAAAGCAAGGGACATAACCTTTGGAAATCTTCTCCCCCAAACCTGGGCCATCCTTCAGTGGGAGTTGGAAGAGTCTGCCCAGCTCTGCCTTCAGGGCAGACATTCATAACAAGATCTGAGACTCCAGGGGGCTCAGACACACTCCAGGTATTCTCTCTAAGGAGTTGTGAGCTTAATGAGCAAATAATGTCTTCTAATTCCTAAGGGGCTGAGGTTGAAGTACTTTCAGGAAAATTCCAACAAAGAGTTTGCTACTTTCCCCATGGGAGATTCAGGAATGTAGGCAGGAGGGGGACCTGGATGAATGTCCTATTTGGAAAGGGGAGGATTCATGAAGGGGAGGGAGGGGGAAAAGGGCATTCTCATTCTCCACCTCACCTGGAAGGGTACAGTACCTAATACGGGGGCACTGACACTCCGGCCACGATCTCCAGCCAGCCAAGAAGCAGAGAAGCCACATGAAGAAGCAAGAGAAGCCAAAGTCCAGCCCAACAGAGTTATAGGAAAGCAGAGAAATAAACAAGAGTCATCAAGCTAGAGAGAAAAAACTCAAACAGAAAGAAAAATCATCCCACAAGAAAAGATGGATGGGGTGAATGTTGACTGAGCCATTCTCATTAAGGAGGTCCCAGGTGATGGCCCCAAATGCTTCTGGTGCCAGCCCTCGGCAGGCAGTGGTACACAGGGAGAGGGAGGGAGAGCTGCAGGGGCTGAATGTACCAAGTCACGTGCACTTGTGTGTGCCAGGGCTCACTCAGATCAGACTAGAATGACCTGAAGCAATAGCAAGTCCCTGTTCTGAGTGTCATTAGGGAAAACTCATTTAAGGGCTTATCTGGAGTTTCTCAAGCCAAAGGGAAGACTGGCCAAGGACAGATGCCAATGCAAGGGGTGGCTCAGCGAGTAGTTGGGGATGAGGAATCAGGGGTGAGGAGAGATCTGTCAGGACTGGAACTTCTCCTGCTGGACCCCATTGATCGGCTGCTGCTGTTGGGGAAAGAGGGCCTTATTATGCATTAAACGCAGCAAAGATATCGGTGATTTTACACCTCAAGTGCCAGGAGATTAACTATGGACTGACAGCCTTACCCACTGGCCACAAAATCCATTTCTCTAAGGAAGTGCTCTCCCTTGGGAGAGTATACATGGTATCATCCTGCTAATAGGGAGGCTGCAGAGAAAAGGGCAGAGCTGGGAATGAGAAGGTCAGGATGGCAGAGGAAGGAAGAGTGGAGTGTGGTATCCCAGAGGGAGGGGAAAGAGGTCATGGGGAGGGTCAGGAAGGGGCTCAGAGAAAAGGAATAGAAGAAGAAAAATGTCGAAGGAGTAACTGCAGCTAGCAAGAAGGACAGACACCAACCCTGGTTTTCTGAGGTTCTCAAGTGTTTGCCAAAGAATAGTGTGCCCAGAAAGAGAGTCATGGTTCTGGAAGTGGGCGGTCCTGAGGCATGGCCTGTGCCATCCGCCTACCATTCTGCAGTTGCAGACCATGAGGGCAGATATAAGGATCTTGTGCAATAATTGGCAGGGCCAGGGTGGCTGCTCCAGAGGGCGCGGCCCAGCGGCCTGGACACTCACTCAGCCTCAGCAGGCTGCTTCCTGTGGAGTCGGGTGGGGAGGTGGCAGGAGATTTGGCAGCCTCTCCATTGGGTGTGACTCCTGAAAGCTTTCCAGGCGACGTGGGGTATTTGTGCTCTGCCTGGAGAAGCCCATCCTATGGGGAAGGAGAGAGAGAAGATGCTAAGTTAGCCTTTGATATGACTCAAACCCAGTTAGGAGACTGTTGGATGCAAGAATCACTCCCTTTTCTCCAAGACCCAATTTTCACTGAGGCTGACTCAAATAAACCTCATTTAGTCGAGTTCTCGGAAAGGAAGAAACTTGCCTGAGATGACACCAATGAAACAAGGAAAGAGTCAAGCCCAAAACTGGGGCTGGCTCGAAACAGGAAGTGCTGTGTCCTGCTAAGTGGGGAGGCCTTGACCATTTGGCCTAGTGCTCAGCAGCTCAATAAATGAATAGCGATGAATTGCCCTTCAGACATGCAAACTAGAATTCTAACAAAAGTTATACCTATTGATTGATTATATGTCTGTAATATATAGTGTATTTGTTGTAATTCTAGAAAATATCAGGCTAAAGCAGAATGAGAGGGTATGTACAATGGGCCACGGGCCACCTGCCAATAGTGCACCCTCGGTCAGAACTCAGCTTCCTTTTGCATGAGGTTTAGCCCCTGTGTAAGGGGCCTCTGCTCTACCCTAACCCAAAGAAACAAGTTGATTAAAAGGGGTAGAAGAATTGCACTTATTTATAGGTCAAGATGGAAACCACAGTGGAATGCATTTGAGTGAGCATAAAAGAAAAGAGAAAAATTGAAGCAACATTTCCAAGGGAATCAACTGTGGATTACTTGATTGGATCCAGAAGGAAAGTAATATGAAGGACAAAACTGATTTCATAACTGACACATCAGGAAAGTAATGGGAGCCGCTAGTGACTGAGACATCTTTCGAAGTTTCATTTAGTTAAAAGCTAAGTGCCCAGTAGATTTCTGAGTTCAGTTTGCCTATAAATGCATGTCTTAGAAATTGTTTGAAATCTAATACTAATGCCCTAGAAAGAAGCCAAGAAAGGAGAAATACAGAAAAAGTGGATTGAATTCTCAAGGAATTCTGATTGAGGTAAAAAAAAAAAATCAGAACCTGGAGGATGGAGATGCACATTTTCAAGTTTATGATGGCTCATGAGGTAGACCAGGCATGCGTGATTGGACAAGTGGTGAAGACCAACAGTTTCCAAATGCTAGACCACGCCCTGGCTGCTAATAACCTAAGGTACTTGCAAAGACTATAAATGCCAAGGTTCTATCTGGTCGTGTGAATCAGCCCCTATAGGAATGTACTCCAGGACTCTGAGTTTTTGACAAGCATCTCAGATGACTCCAGTGCACAGTCAGACCCAGTAACTTCTCAGTGTGGGGAAGTCAGGGTTCCAAAGTTGTGAGAACTAAAGGGCATGACTACAGTTTCCATATTCTACAGGGAATGTGGGTATGGAAAAGGCTCTCAAAAACAGACTTCCAGTTGCCTCATCAGACTTGTCCCCGCCCAAGACAGGGGAGAGATGACCAAGGCTGTCAATGTGAGTTGCCCTGCAGCTGCCAGAGCAGCTGACAGGGAGAGAGAGCATGTGTCTAACCCAAGGACAGCTTTCCAGAGGTGGCCCAGACTTGCCAGAAAGACAGCAACAGGCGCCCCGGGCCATGGAAAGGGCTCTCAGTCTGTTTAGCCAAAAAGAAAAACTGGGCAGGAAGCATTGGCTGCTGGAGAAGGTCAGGCAATATCAGGACACAGCACAGAGGATACAAACACTTAAATTCAGTTCTGCTTCTGCTTTCTGCAAGAAGAGCAGTCCTGGCTGTGGGGGAATGAAAATCGCAAACTAGGAGCAGCATATACAGGGTTTCCTCACTACCCAAATGTAGAGTGTTCCTATTTGGCATGAGGTGGTAGGCATTTGGGGAGAACTGGGGATGCTACTACTATTACTTTATATGGAAATTCTTTTGAGCATTCCCAGACCCCCCAAAAAATAACTAACCACATTATGCCAAATGAGAATGTTCTACTTTTGGATAGCAGGGGAAGCCTGGAACAGATTATCTGGCTGTCCTACATTAGCACAGAGAGGTGGGCACCAGAGTGAGGAGGCCAAGCTTTGCATGAGAGGAACTTAGGCAGAGCCCTTTCTCTTTAGCCTCTCAGAACCTGTGTGTTATTATTTTTAAATAGGGAACAATTCCTGCCACAGGCCCAGCACACAGAGAGCAATGTGTGCCTGGGCCGGGGGTGACAGCAATAAGGGCATCAACAGTACCTAGATCAAGGGGGACACAGACTGGACCCATCTAGAATACCATGCTCCAGTGTGGTCCAGGGCATGATATAGGGGACATGGAGAAAATAGTGCTGATACTAAGGAGACTGCATGGGAACTGTAAAGGTTCTGTGCACCTGAGAAGAGGGTGTATAACTCACCAAGGGCCAGAAGGGCCGTCAGGAGCAAGGGAGACTGACCTTGCTTTGAGCTCCACTGGGAGAGCTGGATCAGGAGATGCACATTCTAGAGAGGCCCAGAAGATGTGTATGATACAGCCAGAAAAGATTAGAGAGACTGCCTCACAATCTAGTGAACTCGCCATCACAGAAAGCGAGGCACAGGCACCAATGCCCAGGGAGGTTGTAGAAAGCGTCCGGCCCCTGCGGAATAGAGTGGTGGTGTGTGTGTAAGGAAAGGAGTGATTGTGCTGGACTAGTTGAAATTGCACAGGACTGTGACCATGGTTAAAGTCATGTAAGAATTACTCTTAACCTGGAATGTTTTCTTCATCAACAGGCTCATGTTACTCATAGTTCTTGGTAATCAAATCACTGTCTTAAAGCATGTGACGGGACCTGGCTGTGCTTCCAAAGAAGCAGGTGGTTATTTGCTGATGTGCTTCGGAAACATCTGTGAATAACCTCTGTGAGGCTGAGGTCAGAGAGGAAAGGGGAGGTGCTGAAGAAAAGAAGTGGTTCCCGAAGCAAACCGTTCAATTTCCAAGAGACCTCAAGTTGCTATGCATCCAGAGCACCTAGACAGCAGGCAGAAGACTGTGCTCTTGGGTGGCCAAGGGAGGGCCACCCCACTGACACAGCAACTGCTACAGATATGCAAGGGCATGGAAGCTCCCTGCAAAAATGCAAAGGAACTAAAAGAATCTTCCTTTGGGAAATTTGGAAAGGCAGAGATACCCTGTCCTATTAGATTGATATGAGAATTTAAATGACCTTTTCAGGCAAAAGTTAACATGCAATCAGGCCCCATGGATGTAAAGGCAGAAGACAGAAGGGTCAGTGCCACTGGCCTCACTTCACAGTTTCCATTACAAGATTATAAACATGCTAACTGTATTCCTCAGTTCATCCTGGGCTCAACATTTCTGTAACAAGTCGGAAACTCGTCATCTTACACAATAGGCTTCCTAGGAGAAAACAGTTGTAATGGGGTTTTTATCACATGATTGTCCATGAAGAGGCTGCCTTTCTTTTTAGCCATGACTTGTCAGCACAGGAAGGATGAGAGCTGCCATATTGCTCTGACTGCATGCTGAGATCACAGCATCTCCCTTCCCAGTGACCAGATCTACACTGCCTAGTTACAGATGAATTTCTTAACCTACAAATGGAGGAGACAGTAACAGATCCTATCCCACAGATAATGGAGAGGAAAGCATTTTGTGAAATAAAGGGAGAAGTTTGTCTTTCTTCTCCCTCTTACCCCTTACCAATGAACATAGTTTAAGATTACAATATAGTTTAAGATTACAACATAGTTTAAGATTACAAAAGCTGAATCTTGCTAAATGAAAACCCCTAGCAAACCATGCAGCCATACACAGGTGACAGCGACATGCAGTCAATAATGTACCTTGGTTTCTACCATGGGGGAGAGTTGGTTCCCATCAATGCACTATGGGATGTCAAGGAGGATTCCAGTAAAATGGAGAAACAGAGATCTGTGTTAACCTCAAGTAAACACCTTAGGGCCACCTGCCTGCTTAGATCTGCTAAGACTCACCTCCTCCCTCACCATCTGAAAAGTAACACCCTCCCACTGTCTTTGTGTCCATGAGGATGGGCAGCTGTCAGCAATCTGACAGTAGGACATGAGAGGCATGTGACTATGGGAGCAAAGCCACTGAACGGCCCATGGCTCCTGCCAGCTCTAGCCTTTGTGGTTTTCCATTGTGTCCCCAGGGAGTTTGGCACATGCTGGAGACCATGGGATGAGGTATTATATGCAGCAGAGCTCAGTGACAGTTCTTGATAAGGGCAGGTGATCACTTGGTCTCCAATGACCTGGCACAAGGGCCGGAAGCCCTCCTCTGCAACACAGAGACCTGCATGGTCAAGGACTACCCTCAATAAGAGGCCATGAAACTCTCCTCACATCTTTCTAGACTCTTAAAAAGAGTCCAATCGGACCTCCCCTGGTGGTGCAGCGGTAGAGCCTGGGCTGCGAAGATGCCCGCATCCTCTGCAGTGTCAGTTTGATCCCACATGGCGCGCAGACCTCTCCTGCCACGCCCACTGCTCCCCTCAGCAGTGTATTTTGTCAGTCTGCCTGTTCTGTTCCCTGCTCTGGCTCTGGTGAGTTCTCTCACCCTCCCGCGCTTCTGACTGTACCCAGTGCTTGTATAGATAAATAAATAAATCTTTAAAAAAAAAAAAAAGAGTCCAATCTTCTAAGTTATGCTACCACTTCTGGGATCATCTCTTTTCTCAACATTATTCCTCATTCAGCATCTCTGCAATGCTTACAGTGCCCTGGGGCAGCTTCTTGGGCTTGGTCAGGCTCTGCTCTAACCCCCTCACACTCCCCTCCATTTCCCACATGGGCCTGTGTCACCCCAACATCTGGTCGCAGCAACTCCAGGCAGCATTTTCTGGGACACCTTGGGCCACACCTGGTTTTCCCAAAATGTGTGTGTAGTTCCTGCCTCTCCAACAACTCATAAAAGCCTCTACCAGACTGGGGCCAGGACTTTGCCTTACAGCTTAGAACTGCGCTGGGCACATAGAAGTAACTGGGTAATCTTTATGGACAGACTGGCTTGCTGACCTTATCCACAGATTCACTTCTCAAGTCTTCCAGACTACAGGAGAGCTTTTTCTGAACCCTAGAAAAACACAAAAGAAGTAAAAAAAAAAAATAGTTATTAGATAAGAAGATACATGGTATATCATTCATGCAGAGGACATTTCAAAAGTTTAAACAGTAATCTGCCTTGGCTTCAGGGTCTAGGTCAAGAAAAAACACCTTTTCATTATAACTTTATATAAAAACATCTTTTCATCATTACTTGTAAGGTGAGACTGACCCACCTCGGGAGATACACTGGTCTGACAATATTTTGGTCAAATCCAGATCAAAAATCCTTGGTTTTCCTAGAAAAAGTAGATGCCCTCAATTCTACTGCTTTAGTGGGCACTGACTATTGCATAATCATAAAAGAAGACCACTGTCTGTGGTTATAAGAGAGGAAAAGTGCCAATACTTCCTTGTCTGTGGAGGCAGGAGGAGGAAGGAAAGAACAGTGGCATCTCAGAGTGGTGAGGAACACATCAAGCAGCCATAGCTCCAATGATCACCTGTTAGGACCCTCCCACACTGAGCTCAAGCCCTGCACATGCTGACCAGTCTGCTCAGAACTAATTGCTTTCTTAGGGTCTATTTTTCAGGGAATTTACACTAACTGAATAGAGAAGAGGCAACACTATCAGTAGTCACAAGGGCTACCTTGTGACAAGTCTTAGCAGTGATATTTCTCAGCTCATGTGACTAACAGCATTTTTACATTAGTCTCTGTGAGTCTGGTCAATGTGAGTTACTCAGGGGTGACTTCTTCCTGTGTGAACTCAAAAATCTAGTTTCTCATTCTGCAAAAGTAAAGACTAGCCTATCGCCTTCTCTGATTCTGCCATTTTTTTCTGGGGTTCAACACTCAGGTGAGCAATGGTTCTCTGGAAAGTGGGGCTGCAGTAGTGGAGGTTCTGGGGCCCTGGAGCCTCAGTGTCATCCTGGGGAGGCTTCCATCATGCTATGGCTGTCTCCCCCAGACACTCTGGCTGACAACTTGCTCTTTGCAGTGAAGCCCCCACATCTCCATGACATGGGGCATAATTTGAAATGTGTTCTAAAGAGCTGATATAGGCCACTAGAAATAGGTTCATTTTAGAGGGGCAGGACAGGTGGCAGCCAAGTGACCCCACAGCCTGTTATAAACTCATTGATATTTGATGATATTTGAAGGATCACCTTCATTGGAGGAGAAATAGCCTTTTCTAGATAGCCCGGATGATCAAAGGCCTAGATTCTCCCCCAGAGCAGGAAGGATGTTCAGAGGAGCTGACAGAGATGATAAACATCACAGGGTGCTCTCAGCTTGAGGGGCTATCAGAGGGCACAGATGAGGTGTAGCCACCTCCCCTCTTGAGTCTCCAAACCCCTGGCCGGGTCTTTTCTCAGTGACAATCAACCAGACCCTCAGCCTGTGGGCAGGGAGCCCCTCTCAGCAGGGGAGGTGGGGGGAGGGGCTGTGACTGCTCTACAGCTCTGGTCCCATTGTGGCCACTGCTGAGGCTGGAGTGCTGCCCTGTCAATGGAAAGACAGGTGTGCCCAGAACATAGTGGTCATGTTCGCCAGCATGGTCAGGTGCCAGCATGTCAGGAGGGGCATGAGATCACAGCAGATTCTGGGAAATGGTTGAGTCTCCTACCTGGTTTCCAGTGATTTCTGCGGAAGCGGAGGTGGCCCCGCCATGGGAGAGCTACATCTTGGAGGCATCTACACCAGAAACAGAAGAGTCACTATAAAGAACAGTTACCATTTGGAGACCACCCCCCACCACCCTTGCCCTTCTTTGCAGGATTCCTCTTAGGGGGTTACATTTGTGCTCCTGGATACAGCCACTTCACCAGTTCCGGTGACTTGTTTCTTAAGACACCAAGGACGCAGGCATATTGAGCAACTTTGGCCTCTCCTGCCTGGGTTGAGGTCACATCCTAGCAATAGAGTGCTGACAAGTCAGCCTGCACTTTGGGGCTCTTGCCTTTCTGAGCTTGTTTCTTCAGCATTTCCTTTCACTCAGTGAGCTACACATATCCTTCCCAAAACACCCGTTTTGGTATATGTTTGCCAGAGTCTATACACACTGCTTACAATGAGCAACACCGCAACTCATATAGTCACTCAACAAACACAAACAACATCTACTCCCCTCAGGCTCAGTGTAAGGCCAGCTCTCCCCACACATGGGGAGTGGACAAATTCATTAGGATGAAACATCAAGGTAAGATGTCCCTGTGGTCATTAAAATGGGGCTCCCTCTCACTGGTGGGAGGTTTCAGAGGAGAGAAAATTGCTGAATCTTTAGGAATGAGCATGGGCTTAGCAAGAACAGGAGAAAGGAAAGCACAGGGTGCGGATAAGCATGAGGTAACAGTGGTTGACAAGCACGGTCTCCAGCACTGCCCTGCTGGCAAAGACTACCTCTTTTCTCGAGAGTTCAATACTTTTTGGTTTACTCTAGAAGGATCCCTGGCACTGAAGCACAGCTGTTAAAAGTCTGGATGTAAAAAAACAAGTCTGGATATATGGGCCAGAGACCTGGGTTCAAGTCTAGATTCCATCATCTACTCGCTGTGTGGCCTAAGAAAATTACCCGCCCTTTTGATCTTCAACTTTTTCAGAATGAAACAGGCTCCCGATGGGATGTCATGAGGAATAAACAAGGTGAGCCAGGTACAGTGCTCATCACCGTGACCACAGTCATGAGGGACTGAGCACACATCTTCAATTATCATTGGCAACCAGGACCGCTGGGTCCAAATTGATAACTGGTCAATGGGTGACCCTTTTGCTCCTCCCTGAACTAAATACCCTTTTTAGTCTGACCATTCTGGAGTTTCACAACCCTTTTAGATGCTGGGCTAAAGCCCCTTCTCTCCCGGAGATGTTTTTCTATGGGTTTATTTGTTTATTTTTATCTGGCTTAGGCCCAGAGACATTCATTTAACAAAACTAAATGAATTTAGTTTTAATAAGTAAAAAAAAAATTAAGCAAAAGAGAAGAGAAAGAAAATCTGTATGCTGGTTGTGGGGGCTGTCTGTGAAATAGAAATGCATCATTTCAAAACCTGCGGTTACCCCACTAAATGAGCCAGATGCACTCATTCATTCGACAAATGTCTGTGGAATTCTACCAGGTATCAGGCAGGTTGGCAAAGGTTGGAGACACAGTGGTCAATAAAACAAGTAACATGTCAGGTGTGTGCTGACTTTCCAGAGGGGAAAAACAGAAATAAACAAGGAGCTTGGTCTTTAAAAATTCCTGTCCTTTTAAGCCCAGCATTCAGTATCCCTCCAAGCCGGAACACAGGCCAGTGATTTAGCCCCTTGCTGCCCTTCCTTGGGGTGCTCTCCCAAGGTCCAATTGATTTAACTTTCCATCTTTCCAGACTAATTTCTGACAAGATTCCCCCCAAGCTCAGTGTTAAGCTCCTAGGACCTACTAAAACCCCACATCAGGAATGGAAACACACACCTCTGGTTTAAATAATTCTTCGGGGCCTTTATTTGCAGCATTCCACTTTCTGAAACCTCCTTCTAGTTCTTCGTCATTGAGGGAGAGAGTTCTTTCTGAAGGTCCTGGAAGCATTAATGCAGAAGAGATGAGCACCCCTGTGTGACTTGCTCAGAAACCCGCAATTATACCACAAACCCCTAACATTGTTTCTCCTCCACTAAGAAAGACTAAGAAACATATAACTGGACATAGAGAGTGTGATTTAGAAGCTTCTTCAGAGCATTCCAGCTAAGGCTTTGTGAAGATCATCTCAAGGTCAAAGCTCATGAGAGAAGTCATCCCTTCATATTCCTCTCCAACCTTCTCACTTCTTGACCTCTGGCCATCAGGCCCTCAGAGCAACGTGACACAAGATCCCAAAGGGCACAGTGCATGTGTGGGGCTGGCACAGCCCTGATGCAGTCAGTCCCAGCACAAGCTGGGGTTGGCTTCTTCCTATGAACAGACAGAAGCTCAGCTAGAACCAAAGATTCCTGAATACCCTCAAAGCTGCTTCCCTGGGATCTGGAGTGGGAGCCCATGATAACGGCGTGAATGCAATTCTGGTATCCTAGCACACATCCTGCTGTGTCCAGAAGAACAGTAATGCTACTGCATGCTCTGTTCACTCTGGGCAGCAAGTATAAAATGTGAACAAATTTCCCTGCCTGTGACTGTCTGGGGGAATGCAGGCACCAGGAGTCCAAAGAAGCCTGGGGGTCTCCTGGGGGAGCTTCTACCTTCCCCAGGAGGTAGACAAGCTCTAACCCCTATGAGGCACTGGTCTGTCTCCACTCACTGCCTCTCAGAGGTAGCCCAAGAAGGTGTGAGGGAGCTCCTCTGAGGGTGGGGACTTCCAAGGGTTCAGGATGAAACTGTTTTCTTTGAGCTGGATAATGGCTAGGACTTCTGAAATAACTGACATTTGACAAAATTTCTAGAACTCAACAGTTGTCATTTCTCACCCTCCAGGACAGCCTCAGCAGCTCTATTCGCCAGCAGAGGCTCATCTCAAATGAAGACAAAAACTCATCTGGCAGAAATGCCCCTGGAGTCCAGTAGATGTAACATCTGTGGGAAGTAAGGGTAGGACCTCTTACCTTGAGCTGCCATCACAATCTCCTTTACTCTCCGATACTGGTTTAACAGCCCCGTAAGCTCCTCTATCCGGCGGTCCTGTCACAGTGTGAGAGCAGACTTGTGTGTAAACACCAGCAGCAGCAGATGATTTCATTTTGGGGCCCAGGCTATGTTCTAGGCACACTGGGAAGAATTGCTGTGTGGATTCCATGGAGTGTCTAGACTCCTCCCCATAAAGCCTGGCTTCTCAGTGGCTGGCCTCCTGGGCAACTGCAGGTCTCTTATCTCACACCTGATGGTGATGAGGACACATTCTGGCCACAAAGCAACCCCTGCTTGACATAGACTTTGAGGGACTTAAACATGTCCAGAAATAGAAACTCACTACCTTCTTACTCTCCTGCGGTGGCCAGTGAAATCTCCCTTCTGACTTATGAGTGTCATCCTCTGGAGTTAAAGACAAAAGAAGACTAACACAAAGCTGTCCTATTTTATCCTAAATGCTTACCTCTTCCTTGGGAGTTTAAGGTTCCTTACATGACAGAGGAAACTTTTAGAAGGGAAGCTTTCTTTCCAGGCAAAGGCCTAGGGGTGTGGGAGTCAGACAAAAAAGGTGTGAACCCTGGCTCTGCTGTCTGTTATCTGACCTGGGACAAAACTACTTCAATGCTTTTGTCTTCATTCCCACATCTATAAAATGCAGGGCTGTGATGCTCTGCGCTGATGTCTGAGCTGGGAAGGAGCTCCTGCAGTTATAGAGATGGCCATGTTATGATTATGCAGGAATCTGATGTGAGGCTCACAAGGGAAAAGGCACACGCAGTTAGCATCCCTGGGACAGGTCTATCACCAGATCCGGCACTTGGCAGATAGGTGAACAGTCCCTCAAGTTTTGCTGGAAGACTAAGTAGCAGCTATGACACCTGCAGTAACCACAGTGGCATTTTTCCTGCATGCACGAACAGGCACAGCTTTAATCTTCTTTGGGAGATTCCATTTAGGCAAAGGTCCCAGGCATCAAAGCCAAAAATGGGTGACTGAGGCCAAACCTCAAGGAGGCAAAGGCCATTCTGATATATCCCTGAGTCAATACAACCTTATGGGCATGTTCTGTCCAGAATATCAGGGACCAACAGGGACCAAACAGAGCCAGGGAGGTTAGCTAGGAAAGCAGAGGGCTGCCCAATGGCTGTCTTACCTTATCTTCATTGGCAACAAGTAAAGTTTCCATCCCCATTTTCAGACGCTGAATTTCTTGGTCTAGAAGAATTTAGGTGTAGAAAATTATTTATGTAAAATGCAGACAGCTGTCCTCACATGCTGAGATGCTAAAACTCTCCATATGTATGAGTTTCATTTGGACTCCTTTAAGGAGCCCAAGATGGCTTCTAGCAAAAAGTCTGTCACATCAAGTGTTGAGTGGTTTATTAAAAAAATGAACCCAGTATTTTGTCTTCTCATGTGTGGGGAAAATCAAAATGCCATTGACTTAAAAGTGACACAAAAGATCCCAAAACCCTTTTTACAACAAATACTCATAAGAATATAGACATTCATTCTTTATAACTTCAGTGGTCATGTACCTGAGCTAATAAGTTGTTTTAGAGAAAATCACAGCATTCCATAGATTGCAGCAGAGAAGAATTTAAAGTTAAGTCTACTGCTGAATGGAAACTGGAAAAGAATGATTATGTAAAACAGTTTGGTACTCGACTTAATTTAAAATGGTATAGTCAGAATGGCCTAATGAATGCTTAGATGCTTTTATAAATATATTAGAACAAACTCTATGGTCAAGGAAAACCATCTTGTTTCATTGTAAAACTACAGCATTTCTCTATGTATTAAGGGGCCTGCGTTTGTCTGTGGTGGGCAACCCCTGGTCTTCTCTCACTTTGGACCTAGTAGGGACTCTTCCTTACTTCTTCCTAAACTGACTGGAAAGCCAGGTCAGTCTGCCAAATATTTAGAGGCTTAAGAATTGGCACATAGTTAGATTTTCCAAACAAGGACCTGCTCCCATTCCCTATGCAAAGGGAATAGAGATGTCTATGGAAGAAAAGTATAGGAGATCAGGAAACAGAAGTAGAGACATCCCGTTTCCTGTTGGGATACCTGCCACATCCAAAAAGAATAGGAAGAGTGGACTTAGAGAGTTTTTGTAAATAGTTGTATGGATTTTCAGAGGAAAGTGCATCCTTACAATCTTAGGCTCTTGGCAGCTGAGGATTAGCTCCACAGCCTCGTTTGCTGGGAGAGGACAGTACCCTCCATATGAAGGCTGGCAAACCTCAATGCTTTGGGCAGGACCCAGCCAGAGCTGCAAAGGACCAGCTCCAGGAGGTGCCTATAGATGGAAGAGGGTAAGGTCTAGACGACTCGGACTGTAGGGAGGCATGGGGCAGAGGAGAAAGGCTACCTGGCCTAGAAGTCATGGCACTGGGAAGCGCTCTGTCCAGGTTTGGAATCACAGATAGTGATGGCCCAGCCTCCACATTAGGCTTGGCAGGTAAGTGATGTATTCAATGACTTATAAGGATGCTGAGAAAAACTGGGGGAGGGATAACCATATTGGTCATTCATTTCTTTCTCTAATCTAAGTCAGTATTTCATGACTGCATGGCTTCCCCAGCCCAGTCAAGGATCCAAGTGCTCAGGCCAAGACAGACCTTCCAAAATCACCAGTAAGCTACAGTGTATGCTATGAAGGGAAAAGGAAAAAAAAAAAAAAAATGTTGAGTCAGGGGGAAGTAACCAACTTGTTTTTGTAACCTCAGGACTTTTTGTACAAGTATCAGGCAGGTACCTATTACATGACTAAATGAATTGCTAAAGCCTCCCATTTGGTGATGACACCAAAACAAGTACTTTTAATCAAGGGAATGAGTAAAATATCCAGAGGTGGCTGCACAGAGCTTCACTTATCAGACTGCGTCTGAGAAAAGCCTTCAGAGTTGAGTTCCTGGATAGGGTGGGGCAGTGAGTCCACAATAGGGCTAGGCTTTACAGCCCATTCTATGCACACATCCATTCACTCAGAGATGTGCATGCACGTATATGCACACAAGTTCACCCACCCACACAACCCCATATGTTCATAATCACAGACAAACGTGCTCATGTCTGAGAGGGTGAAGCACCCAGGCACACTGCACTCCATCACAGCCCAGCCAGCTACCTTTCTCCACATGGTCACCATGGAGGGCGGAAGTCCGGGAGAGCTGGCTGTGCAGACGCTCAATTTCTGCATCCTTCAAGGCCACCTGCTCTTGAAGTTGAGCTACCTCAGCCTGGAAGAAAACAGAGAATTCCCTACCAGCTCAGAGGGCCTACCAGACCATGACAAAGTGCTTCCAACCAGAGTCCAGGGCCTATAGATTCTAAGACAAATAGGAAGTTCAGAACAGAGAGGTTGAGGTGAGCAGTAGAGGTGCTCACTGCCCTCCCCACAAGGTGGTGCTCTTTCGACTAAGCTCACCCCTGGTCATTCTGGCCCTGCCCACAGATTTGGGTATCGAGGACCCCTTCTCCTGCAGCTTCCTACCTGACCAGGCTCTTATCCTCCCCTGCCTTCTGTGTTTCAAATACCAATGAAGCCTGAGCAGCTAGGATCGTGTGCCATGGGAGGACTACTCTTGGTCCAGGGTCGGGTACTCTCTCTCTGGCTGTGGTCTTACTTCTCCCAGATATTTATGCCACAGCATGCACACAGACCATTGCAACAGGTGCATGCATAGTTCATTTTTCCAGCACATCTGAGACATTGAAAGGGAACAAAATCACTACTGGCAGAGAGTGTAAGCCAAGTTCCCTCCCTCAAACACTCTTCCACCCTTTGTGTCCAGCCACTGCCTCTGCCCAACCTCCAGGCATTCAGGTGCTCTGGGCACACAGACTTGAAAATAAAGCATGTTAAGTACAGTCACACACGTACACACACACACACACACACACACACACACATTCATGTAAATGGGCAGCTGCATTGGGTGGTGCCCACATCTCTACTGAGAATAGGAGGTTAAATTCCACACAGGAAGTAGGTGTGGGCATCCCCCCACCCCCATACTTATTAGAAATCCAGAACACAAAAGTTCCCATCCTATGAAGCATGTTGGTTTTTTGGTCAAACAAAAGCCAACGGATTCTCTCATTTCCTAATTGGGTGAACCTTAAGCCAGTGCATTAACCTTTCTGAATCTTGGCTCACAGCATTTACCTCATGGGGCTGTAGTGAGGATTACATAAAATAATTGTTTCTAGTGCTGTGGGTAGTTTAAGTGCTCATAAACGCTGTTACTCCTCTTGCTCTTGTCCCATTCCTTCCCTTACAAGTAAGGAAGTTTTCTGAGCTTCTGGTTTTCTGAGCTTCAAACAGGACTAAGAATGAGGTTGAAACTTGGTGGAGGAGCCAGGCCTCAGCACACACCTTGGGCTGCTGCTCTTCCACCACCCTGCGGGGCCATCACACAGCGCCTTTGCTCCTTGAGCTGGTGGGTTGGGCTGGCCTTCCCCAGAGGCCCAAACAACTCCAGGTGGGCAGATGAGCTCTGGCCTGCTGGCTCCTCTGCTGAACACGACTTGCATTTAGTTTCAGGACACAGAAGCATCCACCTGCACTGGCCCCATGCTTGGTGCTTCCTTACATCAAACCCCACTTGATCTTCACAGGAAAACTTGGCAGGAAGCAATATCCCTGTGTGTGGCAGGGAGAAGACAGGAGCAGCACAGGATCCAAAGTCCAAGTCACAGAGCCAGTCCATGACCAGCCCAGGACTCCACCCACTCCAGCCTTTTGGCTTTCGGGTACCCTTTGACAGGGTCCATGAGGGGCCACTCTTACCAGGCTCAGGGGCCCTGAGGCCACCTGAAATTAACCTTCCCTAACATCCCCCAAATGGAACGGAGATGACCTGGCAGAGGGAAAAAGCGGTAACAAGGGGTGGGGTTTCCTTACTCCAAAGTTCCTTCCCCAAGGAGCACAGACCCTTTGCTCTGGTTTCCACTCACAGATGCCAGGGTGCCAAGTGCAGCCCTGCCAAGCTGCTGGCTGGGGCTTGCAGCTGCCCGGCAATGCTCCCTGGCTCACCAGGCCTCAGTGGCCCAGGTTTAGGATTAATGGTGACTGGGCCTCTGAGGACCTCAGCCTTAGGACTCTTAATCTAACAGCTCTCATCTCTACAAGGACCAGACTACTTTTGGAAAGTAGTCTTAATCTTTAATTAAGATCTTTAATTAATCTTTAATTTAATTTAATTAATTCTCTTAATCTTTGCACCTTTTCTTACCATTTCTCCCTGTCATTGCCAATAGGGTGAAAGCTGGTCTCTGTTAGGGATCTGGATGCTGACGCTTGCCTGTAGACCCCACAGTGGACAGGAGTGGTGTGGGTGTATGGAGGCAGAGCCCAGAGCCTGGCACAATGAAGTGCTTCAAAGGCCTGCTTCTGGGCGAGGTCATCTATTTAAAAGCCCACAGACCAAGCAGCTGGTCCCAACCTCCCATGCACCAATTTTCACAGAACAAGTCAGTAGTGCTAGGTACTCTGTCATCCTGAGAAAGGTACCTGTTCTCACAGCTGGACATCATCTACAGCCCACAGGCCCCTCTCTGACCCCGAGGATGAAGCTGGCTGCCACCACTGTGGCCACCAAGGTGACAGCTATGTGTAAGAGGCTGAAGCATGGTCACCAGCCCGGCACCAGGCAGAGAGAGATAAGCACTCTGGCTCCATGCAAGTGCCAGGCTCCTGAAACCCAGGACCACGCCCGCCCTACTGCTGCCACACTGGAAGATGAATCACCTTTAGGGAAAGAGAAACTTTAAGCAGGAAACTGAAGAACTTTCAAAACCCGCACGGGTTTTTACTGCAGGGAATCAGGATGACATTGGGAAAGGGGCATGAGGTTTACAATGGCACAGACCCTGGTCTGAACCTTCCCTTCATTGCCTTGAGCCTCCATTTCCTTACCAGTAAAATGAGGATAAGTCAAGCGTCACTGGTTATTTTACAGAGAATGTGGGCAAAGGCCTTGGTACAAGCTAGCGCAGGGAGGCACGCCACACCTGGTGGTTGTTAAATAACCCTCAGTATCTCAAAGGTGTACATGCCAAGGCAAAGAGCTCAGGCAACTTAAAAAGAGAGGGGTTGTTTCATTTTACAGGAGAGATGTTACACAACTTCAAAGGTTTTGCCAGGATGGGGCTAGCTTGAGTGGAGCATCATGATGGAAGGGCTGAGGTACTGGAGAACAGTGCCCCCATGATTGGGGACCAGGAACCATACATAATTCCCAGGAGGCTGTGCTAGCACAAAGTGAAACAGTCCACAGAGGCATCAGGAGTGCCTAGGATGGGTGCTAGAAAGCTGTGAGGTCTTGGGAAATTTACTTTACCACTCTGTGCCTCAACTTCCACATTTATAAACATGGTCAAGGAAATTATCTGACATTTATACAACAGAATATAGACATCAACATTACCTTATCCAACAGAATATATAGACATCAACATTACCTTCATAGCTTTCTACTAATAGCATGATATAAAATTGTATACAAATAATCAACACCAGACATTGAGAATGAGAGAGAAGAGGAGGGGGGTAGAGACTAAGCCTCCAAAGGAGAAATATCTGGAGGGAAATATTAACAGTGGTAGCTCCTGGGTGGTGTATAAGTGATTTTTTGATCCCTTTATTTTTCAGTTAACTAACTTTCAATGATTATCAAAAAAGAAATAGTCATCATAGAGAATTTTTAAACCCCTGAAAAATAAAGTGATCCAAATGGAGCTAGAAGGGATTAATTTATGTTCAGTGAAATTAAGTCAGAAGGAAAAAGAAAAATATCGGATGGTTTCACTCATAGGAGGAATATAGGGGAACCAAATAAAGGATCAGGGGGAAAATAATAACAATTAAAAAAACCACAACACAACAAAACAAAAATAAACAGACAACTATAAATCAGGGGCATTCTGCAGGGGAGGGGCCGGGAGAACTATTGAGAAGGGGGCGGGAGGAGCACAAGGGACTAAGGTGATGGTGCACGGGTGAATTGGTGGTGGAAACTCTATGGGGACTACACCTGAGAAAAGAAAGCAAATACCGTAAAAAAAAAATTTAAAAAGTTAACTTATAGAAACAAATGGAAGTCCGGGAAATGCTAACAAGCATAATGAAACAACAGACTCTCATAAGAAATGGAAGCAAGAATGGCTGCAGGTAGTGGTCAGGGACCTGGGGCGGGGCAGCCTCTTGCAGCAAGGACACTGCCCCAGAGTTGCTAGAGCCTCCCTCCTCACCCCCACCCCAGGGAAGCCTAACTGTATTTTAATGAGAAATTTCCTCCTATCTAAGTGATGGCTAATTCCATGTCTTCAAATACAATGTTCAGGTTCAAACAACAAATGCGTGGACTGACTCCATTTCAACTATTAGAGGCAATGAAGGAAAAAACAAAGGAAGGAAAGGAGAAACTTATTTCACAAAAGAACTGTTCCTTGTCAACTTTTAAATGAGTTTCCCTGTGCAATAAAAACATGATTTAACTTAAAAAATGCTCCGAGTATGCATCATTTTTTTAAGGCGTGCCTCCACTGCTGAAAATAAAGCAGGCCTGTTTTTAACAACTGATTATTAGAGAAACCACTAAATGGCAACTGATGCAGCCAGGGTGTTGCTGGTATTCATCTGCCCGACCGAGTCTTCTTTCCTCACTCCCTCAATCCCCTACCCTGTCACTCACTCTCTTACTTGCTCACTCACACTCACTCACTCACTCACTCACTCACTCACTCACTCACTCACTCACTCACAGAGCTCTACTTAACCCATTGGCTCAGTCTGCTGGTGCTAAGAAGAGGAAGGACACTCGGTGACTAGACTTCATGAGTTTATAACCTTGTGGGTTTTCCCCAGGATAAGAGTTCTGAATCGCATCTCTCTGCTGCACAATCTGGAGCCTGCTGTGTGCACACCAGAGGGTGAATGTCCATCTTCACTTAGCTACAGCAGCCCTGTGTTTTAACACAGACCCTCCCCACTGGGGCTCAGTACAAGCACCAGGCCCGCCTGTTACCTTAGTAGCCTTCAGCTTCCACTCATACTGGTTCCGTTCATTTTCCAACTCTTCCACCTTGATTTTGAGGTGTCTGAGCTCTTGCAGTAACTCCTAGAGGGACAAGGAATAAAGACAAAGTTCTGATGGTTCGAGAGCAGGACGTACCCTGGATCTACAACCTTGGTTAAGCTCATGCACAGGGGCCGCCCCAGGTCCGGCTACCACACCAAGCACCACGATGCGGCTCCAATTTTTAAACATGGTCCTCAGTTTCAGGAAAAACTGCATGGCCATTTAAAAATGAAGGCCAGGGAGTGCCAGCCCTTAGAAGAAGAAAACTCTCTCATTTTCAGAACCTGTTCTGCCTGCCCCTTTCTGACAGTTGAGTCCTCGGTTGGCTCCTCATCATGGAACAGAAATGCTGAAATGAGCCAGCTTCTTACAAAGTAGCAGGACGCCAGCTAGTGGGAGAGTCTCTCTGTGCTGGGGGGTTTAAGAATTCAGAAGAGGAGGTCAGTGATCTTAGAAGGATTCATACGGAAGTGACAGCCAGCAGGTTAAGGAAACCAATGCCAAGTGCCAACCATAGAGGCCAGTCTGGGTGTTCCAGTTCAGAGAGGGGGTAGGTTTGAACAAAGAAGGGAGGGAAAAGGCATCCAGGAGAAGGCAGGTCAGGAGGCCTTACAGGGGAAATAGCCTGTCACACTGGCGCAGAGGATGGGCAGCATGTGACAGGACATTAGGTAGGGAAGCCCCAATGGGGTCCTTCTGTAAAGAGATGATGCTGTTCTTTGCACAGCAGGGAGCCACTGAATCATGAAAAATGGCCTTGCTGTCTCCTTCCTAGCAGAGACTCAGCGGAGAGGTAATACTTCCATAGACCTCCTGAACGCCAGGTCCACACACATACACAAACTTCCTTCACATCTCCTGGCGATGGTGCACAGGCTTCTCATGACTGTTGTGGTCCAAGTGGAATGCTTAATCCGCCTAACTCCCCATCTCACTAGATGGCATCTCCATCCACCTAATTGTCTGTGGCTGAAACCTGGGATCTGCCCTTAGCATCTCCTACCCTTCACCCTACACAGGTACCCCAAGTCTATTAATTTTACCTCCCAGAAACTAACTTGAAGTTCTCATTTCTCCAACTACCACTGCTACCAGGGTCCAGTGCTTACTGTTGACAGCGTGGACAATCTCAATAAGAAGCAAGCCTCAGCCCCCTCCCTCATGGGGTTTCCTATACAAATCTAGACACACATCTTGACCCTTATTTTTCTCCCTTATCCTTTAAGGTTGGAGGGAATATTCCCCTCTCCCAACCCTACCCTGAGCCCTTATGTCTGGGGAAAGACTTCATCATGCTTCATAATTGAGGATGGATTGTGGTGACTTTTCACAGTCAAGCAGACCATCCTCAGTGCTTATGACCACAGTGGCCTTGACCTTCTCATGGGCAGTTAAGTCCTCTTTAGCAGTGGACCTGGAGGTACAGACTCATCTCTGTGTAGCTGCCATCATAAGGCCTCAGCAAGTCCCAAAGGACCTGGTCAAACCAACATGAGGGGCCAAGTCCAGAATCCCAATTGATATGCCCCACAGGAGCCAGCAGCCATGGAAGCCCTCTAAAATGATGACCTGGAGGATTTCTTCCCTAGTAATTCAGATGATGACTTAATTGTTCATAGCAAATGGAAACATGTTCTATTTTCTCACTAAAGATACACCTCTTTAAAAATAAAGTTGAAAGGAATCTTCCGTGCTACTTTTTTTTCTTAAAAAAAAATCACATGAGACGAAACTTCACTTAACCTCCCAGCCCAAGTCAGGGAAACATACCTGAATCACAACAGGTAAAAAGAATCCCAAGGTTTCCGTTGCACAAATGCCCCATCACTCAAGGCACTTGACATAACTCATGCTGAGCGGAGCCATAAGCCCAAAAGCGAGATGAGTACCCCCACCTCAACTGTGGGAGAGTTGACCTCACCTGGTCAGATACTGCTCTCATCCCAAGAGGGCATCACAGAGCTCAGCTCACGTCCTGAGCAGAGTGAGCGAGCCCAAGCTCCTCCCAGAGGTAACAACAGATCCATGTTAAGCCACGGCACTCTGGTCTGGTTAGGAGAAAGCCCAGCCCCTCCACCAGTGAGAGCCCCACACACGCATGCTCTGATATACTTAAGTGTGCTTCCTACAGGTGACCCCTCCCAACAGGCACAGTCCTGGGTGCAGGGCTGGGGCTCGGCCGCACCGTCACTGGCCGCCACCTCCTCAGGGTGGTCCCTACTGAGTAAGAGGCGCTCTTGAATCTGCCTGTGGATGTCCAGCTGCAGCCTACACATCTGCTCCTGCAGCTCACTGATCACATTCAGAACCGACTGTGGGAAGGAAGAGAAAGGAGAAAACAGCACTCAGGGTCAGTCAGCTATCAGACACAGGACTCTTTAGGAGCACAAAGTGGCATGGGAGACAGGGAGCCTGCAGAGGGTGAGCGCAGGTGGCCGCTAGCAGTCACTCTCCGTGACCATCCACTTTCTCCTTTCTTCAAAGCAACTGAAGCGCATGGCATTTCCCCTGAGGCCTGCGGTTCACCCTCCCTCGCAGCTGTGTGCTGCCCTGGAGGGCCAGCCATCCTTGCATGTCAACATCTGAGGCACAGGGACTAGCAACAACAGACAAGTGCACAGATGGACACCCCCCTGTGGAGTGCATGCCAACCCCCCAAAACATGTTAACACTGGTGCACAGGTGACACATGGCTCACACCTCGCTTATACCTATTTGCCTATGCCCAGCTCTAACCATCCCTCACACCCTAAAGCAAACTTTCCTCCCACACTCCCCACTTCAAACCTGACTCCCCTGTAGCCTCTAGAACCAACTGGCTTTTATGGCTACTCTGAAAAATAATGGCAATTCTTGGACTTCCTATCTATTCACTTCTGAATCCTTTTCACTCCCAGTCTACTGGGCTCACCTTGATCTATTCCACAAACATCATGTTGCTCTGCAGAGATCAAAGCCACAGGGAGCAATTGTGCTCACACGTGAGTGGGGAGAGAGACAGGAAATCAATTTACATGGAGGCATTTTTTTTTTTTTTTAACATCTAATCCTCTAACTAAGAATCCCCATGGCAGAAGGAAGGATGGCATGTCAATCAAGGAGGGGTCAAAAGCAATTCCCCAAGATAACGATCAGCTTCAATCTCCAAGAGAGAGACTGAGCTTGTTCTGGGCATCTAAACTGCAGTGACGGTATAAGGCAGTGAAAAGGACATTAACGGCAGACTGAGAGACCTGGGTTTAACTCGTCTCTCACTGTTTTCCATGTGACTTTACGTGACTTGTGAAACTTTTCCTAACATCATTGATAAATATGTAATGACAGTCTCACCACCTCATGGGGTTGTCGGGAGACTCAGGGAAAGCACCCACATGGTGGGGGGCACATGGAAGGCTCTGGACACTGGCAAGTTCACTTTTCCCCTCGACTTCTCCTTTTACCATCAAGAATTGATTCTTTGAACATGAACAAGAGAAACTGGGAGCACAATAGAAAACACCTTAAGGTAATGGGACACAGTTATGGCCAACGTGATTTGGAAAGCCTCACCAGCCTGATCCTCAGCACACTCACCTCCAGATCCTCAGAGTCTCCTGGCGCCTGGGCCTGGCCTGTCCCCAGGCCCGCTCTTCTTTCTTTTATATGAGCTTCAAAAACTTTATTTCCCTCTACTGCCTTTCTCCCTCTCTTGTTCCCTCCATCTTTATACCTCTCAAAGGAGGAGTCTAAACCTGCTGTCCCTGATTTTCCCCTCAGTCCCACCCCCAGTCTCCAGGAAGACCTGCTGAGTCTCCACTTCTCTTGTGCAGCAACCCCCTCTTGGTCAGATCCACCAGCATGAGCTCTGCCCTCAAACTGCTTGCTCCTTCTTGTGTTTCATTCTTACCTTTAGGGGCTTTGCACTAGTCAGGCCCTTGTCCTCTCTATTATTCTTTTTCTGCCAGCCTATCATTGCAGTCTGTGTAGGTCTCTATGAATCTCAATGTCAGACAATCCATCTAGATTTCTTGGCTTCCTGTCATTACACCTTCTATATCAGCATCCAAACTATGGACTAGAAATGCTAACAGGCAGGGGGCTAAGCACAGATCACTGTTACCTTTCTTGCCAGAGATAGCCTTTATGCATATTATCATGTGGGTACCAGTATGGGTACCAATATGCCAATTTAGCATTCATCCTATCTCCTATATTTTGTCCACAAGACTAACCCTAAGCAATCTTTTTTGTTTGTTTGTTTTGCTTTTTAAAAAGATCATCCCTTTCTAGGGCCAGCATTTTATTGGAAAATTACATTTACATACAGTCTTATTCATGCTTAGTACACAACTGTACATACAGCAGGGGCTTAGGAAGTGGTTATGAAACAAAGTAAAATGTGCACCTAGTAGATGAAGCGATCCCAAAGTTTGAGAAGAAACAGAATATCCATGGAAAAAGAAATATAAAAAGTTTTGATTTTAGTCAGCACTTGAGTGATGTGCTATTTTTCTCAAAACAAAAGCAAAAATCCCTGAATGTCCATAGGCCTGAGGGTAGGGAAGCAGCTGCCACTCCAGCAGGCAGCCAAGCAATGTTTGCTCTGTAGCTTTCTGAAGTGTGTTTACCGGGTCCTGTCACGACAAGGTGCATCCCTGTTCCTGACCAAACCAGCAAGTCATCCTGATAAAACTCACTCTTCATGGACACAGCTCCCTAACCTGTCTTCCAGGTTCTCAAAAACCACCACAGGGTTGACCCTGACCTAAATTAACTAAATTTTATAGGACCCATTTAACTTCACCATTTTGATAAAAGAAGAAAATGGTTCACTTCCAGTTTAGTGGCAACTCACTTGAATTCCCTGATTGCTGGAAATTCAAAGTGAGCAGCTGGGGAACTGCTGTGCTAAGTTCTTTGCACCTGTCAGAGGCAACCATGGAGTCAGGCCTATTCTTTCTCTGATCTTCTTTATGAGAAAATAACTTACAAAAAAAAAATAGTATTTGTATTCTTCTCAGGACTGTCCTTTTGTTTGGGGTTTGCCCTTCCTGGTGCTG